ACACTTTAGGCACCAATATTTCCGGCACAAGCCATAGAAAACGGTGAATTTGAATTTTCCTCAAATCTCTATTCAATTTAGCATAAATTAAAAAAAAAACGAGGGGGAACGTTGTGAGTTGCTGCGGACACCGCAACTCTACGGTTATACCCGATACTAAGTCAGTATGGCTCTCCTCCGGCAGACGCCGCTAATATTTAACGACACGACAAAGAGTGCGTGCGAGAGAGACAGAAAATCAGTCTGAGCGTGACGTCACGCGCTGCGTAGCCACTGCAAATTGATTTGTTTCCTTTCGCTATAAAAATGATCTGATCTGATCCAGATTCAGCAATCTGATAGATATGGTCGGTATCTATGATACTGCGTTTTTAGTTTTCTCGAATCTGCAATATTGTGGATGCAACAGATTTTCGTCCTTTGTGGGGGCGGACGGGGGTGGGGCGAAATTTTAAGATATACGTTTTATAGTGAGATCTAACAGAAGTGCGGATACCAAATTTGGTTACTCTAGCTTTAATAGTCTCTGAGATTTGTGAATATCCCCAGATTTGCATTCTTTGCGGGGGCGGAAGGGGGTGTGGCGAAATTTTGAAACAAACTCGTCTCGGTCCGATATATTAGGAGTGTGGATACCAAATTTGGTTGCTCTAGCTTTTATAGTCTCTGAGATCTAGGCGCTAATGTTTTACTCTAAGCAAAGCCGCCTATGCTACGTGTGTGTTAGAGAGAGACAGGGCGAGAAAAAATGAAATTGTTTTCTTGATGCTGGCTATAATAATAATACGATCCAATTCAGATTCCGCAGTGTATAAGATATGGTCATTCTCTACGATTCTGCGTTTTTGGTTTTATCTTATCTTTAAAATTGTGGATGCCACAGATTTTCGCCCTTTGTGGGGGCGGAAGTGGGCGGGGCAAAGTTTTGAAATATTTTTGTAGCAGTGACATATCACAGAAGTCTGGATCCAAAACATCGTTGCTCTGGCTCTTATAGTCTTTGAGCATTAGGCGCTGAAGGGGACGGACAGACGGACAGACGGACAGACGGACGGACGGACAGACGGACAGACGGACGGACGGACAGACAGACATGGCTCAATCGACTCGGCTATTGATGCTGATCAAGAATATATATACTTTATGGGGTCGGAAACGATTCCTTCAGGACGTTACACACATCCATTTTCACCACAAATCTAATATACCCCAATACTCATTTTGAGTATCGGGTATAATAATAGCAATATTCATCAAAGTAGATTGAGAAAAAAAATTTCATTGACATAACTCAAATTTCCGCTCCCAAAAAATGCGACACTTGAATACGACATTCACATTGAAAAATTTTTTATTTTGGATGTGGTCGCGACCGGACATTGAATAAATTCTCAAAAATCAATTAGGGTGTCCTTATTACGAGAAAAAAATGTGGGTTATGGTAAGTCCTTTTCAAAGGACGAAAGCTCCACAATAAAAGCCTCGAAGGAAGTAGGTCCATCAATAATGAAAATAAGTGATGAAATTGGTAAAACTAGGTGTGTTCTGAGTGATTTCATAAAGAACGGGTCAAATTATGGCAAAAACATAAAAAACCGAACCAAAATTGCTACTTCCGAGACCTCCATAAGATCTCATCTGCGAGCCGCATCTTAAAAACACGACTAAAACTCGATTTAAAAATCGAAAACTGTACTTTTAGCTAGTGCTAAAATAATAAAACACGTTTTTTCGAAGACTCCACACCATAAGGGACTGTAATTAATAAAAAACCTCAGCCAACGGACGAAAACTTAGAATACTCCCGTACTTTTGCATATTCATATGGCGTGGAGTAGAGACTGTCGCCATATAGCATTTTCAAAGGGACAACAATTTTAGTTTGAAGGGTCATAAGATTTTATTTTTTATATTTATAAGGACTCAAGGAAGTAAAGGAAGTGAGGAGTAAAGAAGAATTACAATTGGATAGTTTTCACAGCAGTGTGAGCGCTATTATTCTGTGGTGAGCAAGATCCTAAAACGGCGTGGACCAGTTGATTTTTCATTAAGTCGAGTTTATCAAATATGCAACAAAGTTGAGGGGTTTTTTATTAATTACAGTCCCTTATGGTGTGGAGTCTTCGAAAAAACGTGTTTTATTATTTTAGCACTAGCTAAAAGTACAGTTTTCGATTTTTAAATCGAGTTTTAGTCGTGTTTTTAAGATGCGGCTCGCAGATGAGATCTTATGGAGGTCTCGGAAGTAGCAATTTTGGTTCGGTTTTTTATGTTTTTGCCATAATTTGACCCGTTCTTTATGAAATCACTCAGAACACACCTAGTTTTACCAATTTCATCACTTATTTTCATTATTGATGGACCTACTTCCTTCGAGGCTTTTATTGTGGAGCTTTCGTCCTTTGAAAAGGACTTACCATAACCCACATTTTTTTCTCGTAATAAGGACACCCTAATTGATTTTTGAGAATTTATTCAATGTCCGGTCGCGACCACATCCAAAATAAAAAATTTTTCAATGTGAATGTCGTATTCAAGTGTCGCATTTTTTGGGAGCGGAAATTTGAGTTATGTCAATGAAATTTTTTTTCTCAATCTACTTTGATGAATATTGCTATTATTTTTTTTTTAATTTATGCTAAATTGAATAGAGATTTGAGGAAAATTCAAATTCACCGTTTTCTATAGCTTGTGCCGGAAATATTGGTGCCTAAAGTGTACATTTTAGTATGTCGTATTCAAGTGTCGGGGAGTGTATATTCTTGATCAGCATCAATAGCCGAGTCGGTAGAGCCATGTCTATCCGTCTGTCCGTCCGTCCGTCCGTCCGTCCGTCCGTCCGTCCGTCCGTCCCTATGAGCGCCTATTGCTCAAAGACTATAAGAGCTAGAGCAACCAAATTTGGTATCCACACTCCTGTGATATCGCAACTGCACAAGAATATTTCCACATTTCGGCCTACCCCCATCCGCCCCTGCAAAAAAACGGAAATCTGTGGCAACGACAATTTTGAAGATACGAGAAAACCAACAATGAATACAAAAGGAATCGTAGAGAATGACTATATCTAACAGACTGCCGAATCTGGATCAGATTGGACTATTATTATAGCCAGAACAAACAAATGAAATTACAGTGTCTTCGTAGCGTACTTATTTTCTATCTCTGTCTTACACACAACGCTGCACAACGTTTCACTCTTTTTATACCCGATACTCAAAGTGAGTATTGGGGTATATTAGATTTGTGGTAAAAGTGGATGTGTGTAACGTCCAGAAGGACGCGTTTCCGACCCCATAAAGTATATATATAAAGTATATATATTCTTGATCTGCATCAATAGCCCAGTGGATTGAGTCCTGTCTGTCTGTCCGTCTGTCCGTCCGTCCGTCTGTACGTCCCTATCAACGCCTAGTGCTCAAAGACTATAAGAGCTAGAGCAACGACATTTTATATCCGGACTTCTGTGATATGTCACTGTTGCAAGTATATTTCAAAACTTTGCCCCGCCCACTTCCACCCCCACAAAGGGCGAAAATCTGTGGCATCCACAATTTCATAGATACGAGAAAACAGAAAGAGAATCGTTGAGGATGACTATATGTTTTAAAGTGTAAAATCTAAACCAGATCGTATAATTATTATAGCCAGAATCAAAAAAACAATTTCATTCTTTCTCGCTCTGTCTCTCTCTAACACACTGGTTTCATGGTCGGTTTTGCGAATTGCAAAATATGAGTTCAAGGATCTCAGAACCTATAACAACCAGAGCAACCAAATTTGGTATCCACACTCCTGTGATATTGGACCTTGACAGTTTTCTGTCAAAATTTCGCCACACCCCTTTCCGCCTTCGCAAAAGACGAAAATCTGTTGCATCCACAATATTGCAGATTCGAGAAAACTAAAAACGCACAATCATAGAGAATTACCATATCTATCAGGTTGCTGAATTTTTATAGCCAATAGGAACAAATATATTTGCAGTGGCTACGCAGCGCCCGACGTCACGCTCAGACTGATTTTCTGTCTCTCTCGCACGCACTCTTTGTCGTGTCTTTTAATATTAGCGGCGTCTGCCGGAGAATAGTCATACTGACTAAGTATCGGGTATAAATGTAGAGTTGCGGTCTCCGCAGCAACTCACAACGTTCCCCCTCGTTGGTTTTGGGTTTGCGTTGGGCAACTCTATTAGCCTTGAGGCTGAAGGCTGCGTTTATTTCCTCCTAGTAAACACACAAAATCAGAAAATATTTTGATTCATTTGCCTGCTAAAATTTGATGCAAAAGATTTAGGTTCAGTTGGAACACACCTGTCGCCCAAAAGGTGTTTGGGATGGGGATTAAGGACTGGGGGCTGGGGTTTGGCAACTTCCGTTCGTTAAAGCTGTGAATCATTTCATACAGGTTCCAGCTCCACGTTCAGGTACAGGGCCGAGGTGTGGTGTCTGGGTTAATTTTTACCCATTGAAGCGTGTCACCGATTGAAAATTTAATTTCCCGCCTATGGCACTGGCATAAAAAAACAAAGCAGGATGGCAGCTCTGTCCGTGTGCCTGTGCGATTGGAAGTGGCAATGGAAATGGAAATGCCAGAGAGAGGAAGGAAGTTGGAGAGGAAGATGTGCTACCGGCTTAGAGTCGGCCAATGTATTTCCGTTATATTCCAGTGGTGCAAGTGGATTTTGATTTGGTTGTGGTGCTCCTCCTCCCTCGTTTCTCCTCAGTCTCTCTCTCTGTATCAGTATTTTCAATAATCCGAATTGCCATGGCCACCAGTCAGACGGAGAGACTTTCCAGCTGTATTTCCTGTTTCAGTTTGCCGATTAATTTATTGCTTGAACAACTGAGCAACGATGACAAGACGGGCTCGAGCGCTCGACAGATTTCCGCTCAAGCGCAGCTGTAGAACAAATATTGGTATCCAAATTTTTGCCTCAATTTGTGCTCCTCCCAATAACCCCACTCTCTCTATTTCTATCTGCCTATCCCCCTGTGAAGGTCTCTCCAAACGGCCATTGGGACCGCCACATCGTAAAAGCAGTCTACCAAAGCATCAGGAGGTGAAGCGTCGTTTCCTGGAAATTTGTGATACCAATTTCTCGGACGAAGTGAAGGCCGCCCTGCGCCTGCCCGCCTTCGATTCGTACGAGTGGGGCGACGCCGATGTCATCCACCTGATGCAGACCATGTTCATCGAGCTGGGATTCATTGAGAAGTTCAGCATTCCTGCGGAGACGCTTCGCGAGTGGCTCTACGAGGTCTACAAGCACTATAATGAGGTTCCATTCCACAATTTTCGCCATTGCTTCTGCGTTGCCCAAATGGTGAGTATTTTTCTATACGTATTAAGGTATTAAATATATGCTTTTACTAGGCTTGCGCTTATTAGTATGGGCGTACAAAATGTGTCGGAATCAAAGGTCTCAAGGTCCAAAAAATGTTCCTTTTGTTATAAAACAATAAAATATAAAGTTTCAACCCGATTCGACAACGTTTAGAGGTGCCGACTTGAGGTCAACGTTCAAAAGTACGATATTTGGCCAATGGTTCCTATGGCAGACTAAAATCGGATAAAAAAAAACGGATCGTTTGTTTTCAATACGCGCTTTGTGCAACCAACGAGAGTGAAAAAAACGAGGGGGATCGTTGTGAGAAACTGATACGGCCACTACTCCACATTTCTACCAGATACTCAGTCAGTATGGCTCCTTTCCGCAAGACGACGCACACCTTGTACTACGAAGAGTGCGTGAAAGAGAGAGAGAGAATGAGTAAGGGCGTGGCGGGGCTTACCTAGCCACTGCAAACAGATTTTTTCCTTCTTGCTATAATAATAATCCGATCAGATCCAGATTCAGCAGTCCAGAAGATATGGTCATTGTCTACGATTCCATAGAGTCTTTGGTTTTCTCGTCCTTTGTGAGTACGGCCGAAATTTCGAAATACATTTGTGATAGTGCGATATCATAGGAGGTTATTAAAATTAGTTACTCTAGTTACTCTAGGCGCTCATCTGGAGCGACAGGCAGAGCAGCCATTCTGGGCGAAAGGGGGCTGGGTGAAAATTTGAAATACATTTGTAACAGTGAGAAAATACGTGTTATTTTGAGTAAGCGCGTCTGCTTTATTCTTCTCTGTCCTTTCGGTGAACAGACAGCATAGAAAAAATTGGTTAAGAATATTTTGCTGGCTAAATATTTCAGTATTGTTTAAAAATTAAATACATACAATCCATGTCGGATGAAGTTCTTCGAGTATTACCAGCTTTTGCTTTTGTTGGCTAGAAGTTGCTGACTTTTGCTTTAATGGATTTCACATCCGAGTGGCCTCGTGAGACATCCTTGTTGCCAGGCTAAAAGTGATTCAAATCGCATTATATTAATAGTATTCATACAGCACAGCACAGCACATGTGTATACATATACACAACTATTCACATCGGAGGAAGCTTATAATGAATGAATGTGAATGTGGGGAAGTGTGTGCTCCTCAAGCGGATGAGCAGGAGGCCAGGGGAGATTGCAATCGATATAATGTGGGAATTTACATGTAGCCATATATACTCGCACTCGTATTTCCATATCATAACGTACTACTCGTACTACAACTAAACCATCCACACACAGATATGTACAATACTCACGCCCCGTTGTATGCAATGCAAAAATAAACGAAAGCGCCAAAGGGCAATCCTTACATGCACACAAAGATACAGATACAGATACAGCTACAGCTACACCAATAGCTACAGATACAAACTAGTATGTGTACACATGTTGAAGCAAGGCCTATTTTTAGCTGCCAAGATACCACCCAAGATACGAGAGAGATACAAAGAAGAGGACCCAGAAATTCGCCTCACTTTAAATAGCAACACTTTAGGCGATGGGTAGGAGACGGTCTGTGGAAAATGGTCATTCACCCAACACTGCGCAAAATAAAATAGAAAGAAAGAATCCCGACTGACGTAGCCTTCCCCTAAACCCTAAACCAGCACCAGTCCTACTCTGGCAGCACTTAGACCGGCGACCCACTTGGCTGCTCAAGGGCTAACGAAACATTGTTTAACCTACATTTTTGGCAAATGAAACACGGCATAAGCTATTCGCCGGGGACATCGAATCAAAAACATGTTTTGACCTCTAAAAACTGATACAAACCATCATGTTATCATGGTTTTTCGCATGCAAAGTACGTTTAAATGAAAAAAATAATACTTCAAATCATCTCTTTCCATCTTTATTCTTTAAAAGATTTTGTGTTGTAGGGTGTCTACCAGTCCGTGCTCACTTGATGAGCTGTGGTATTTCCTTTAGTTTCTCGTACTGTATAAAATATTATTTCCTTGCTTTCTCTTCCTTCTTCACTTTAATATTCGGCTCTAACTTGGACACAAGCTAAAGCTAAGGCCGAAATGATTTAAAATAATTTCCCTGTTCATTTCATAGGTGCAATTGCAATTGCAATTTCACTTAGTCGTGGCTTCACTGTTCGGACACGTTCCCCTTAACTTTCTGAGAAGCTCTAAAACAAAGAAATACTCGTATAAAAAAAAACCACCACGCACACAAAATGGAAACTTTAATAAATTATTTTCCTGGCAACAAAAGCAAACGGGTCAGGGATAGAGTGGCATAGGGTAGGATAGGGAATGGGAATGGGAGCCAAGGACGGACGAGCCACTGAAAGAGTCAAATGTGGGGTGTTCTGCTACAATGGCAAAATGAAAGTTGAAATTAGCAATGTGCCCCAGAGAGAAAAAGAGAGAGGGAGAGAGTGGTTGAGCAGAAGAGAAAGAGACGACAGAGTCAGATAGTCAGCGCATTAAGTATACGCACGGTTGCCCACACAGGCAGAACATTGCAACAACAACAACAACAGCAGCAGCAGCATCCAAATGACAATTGCATTATGATTCTCGTTGTTGTTTCTGCCGGTGCTGCTACTGGGAAATATGTTGACCGTAAACCGCATTATGTGCTAGACAAAACATGGCAATTCCACACAGCCCACAAACAGAAATACACACACGAACATCCAACAGAAATACAGAGAGAGATGGAGAGAATGAGAGAAAGAGGGAGCCGCCAACATAGTTTTCACGGCCATTTTGTTGTCACCGCCATTGTCAGCGTAAGCGTCATCAGTGTCCACGTCATTGCTGTACAATATTTGTCTGGCTACCCTGCATCACCGCACAAAAATCAGGGCAAAAATCTTTTAAGAGTGTGCAGCCCTAAAGAACCAAGACGGGCTTGAGAGCCTAGGTTTGAGGTGAAATCGAGGCAAACAGGGAAACACTATTGAAAGTACCTGTGCATCCCACACACTGAAGAGGTTCGATTAAAACTATGGAAAACCCCAATATATAGTATGTGTAAGCTGCAGTACTCCTCAGAATGATTCCCTGTTACCTCCAAACCAAATATCACAAGTAAAACACTATGGAAAGATAGAGATAAGATAGATCGAAAGCATTAGTTACCATACAAATTTTAATATTAAGTTCTGTAATTCTATAAGAAGTAATTCTCTATTGAGGACACACATTACATTGGGAAATTGTTATCCAAGCCTTCAGTTCTAATTGGTCCACTTACATACTACATATAACTTATGGTAATTCATGTGTACATATGGCTGCTTCCCGAATAGTTCCGATTGACTTAATCGGCAAGTAATTTCTTACGATGACGCAACAAAATAAAACGAGGGGAAACGTTGTGAGGCACTGCAAAAGTCGCGGCTCTACTGTTTTATCCGGTCCTCAGTCTGTGTATATGTATGTGAGCTTCATATTTATGTAACTTATACAATGTATTTTATAAGTAATTATACGTAAGCGTGGGAATTGGTGTATCAGCCGATGCATCGCATTTTTCTCTCTCTTTTCGTAAAAGAGACCAATTGATTTGTAAGTTTTTGCGGGGTAGGGAATTCATTTCACTTAGCTTTGCTAGAACTTTTCATGAGAGATGGGAGCAAAATAGAAAGAAAGAGAGGAATCACGACCGCTAGATTTATTCTAATTTTAATTGCTACCCTCCGTTTATCCTCATCGTACATAATGACCTATTGGACCTGTTATTATAAAAATATGTTATCTGATTTAATTTTTTGCTGATGTTTTGTATTCCGCTGCATCTGTCTCTTGCTCTCTCTCTCTCTCCATCTGACTTCTCACTCAAAACACAGCCGTTAAATCTCGTTCCCCTCCGCCAGGGCCCGCACAGTGCACAACAAAAGGTACATATGTGCGAGAGGGAAATGGGTCAGCGCGGGCACTAACTATAAAGACTGTTACAGTGCTGCCAACTTTTCAACAGGAAAAATTCTGTTTTTAGCTTGAAAAAAAAAGCTGAACATTTTTTTAAAGAAAAAACAGCGTAAATAATTAGTTTAACAATTTTTTATTAAAGTGATATTTAATATGTTTTTTACAGTATTTCCATTAATTCATTGGGGATTCATCACACATGTGATGGGTTGCAGTCGAGTTCGGCTCGCGCCGCGTCATGATCTGAGCGTGACGCCATAGTCAATTCATAGAGAGTCTGAGTCTGAGTTTTTGACACAAATTTTCGGCTTTTGCTGGAGCGGTAAGGGGCGTGGCAAAATGTTCAAGAGAAATTGATTCACTGCACTGCTGATTGCTCTAGCTTTTATGGTCTCTGACAACTAGGGATCAAGCAAGACGGACGGAATGTAACAATATCAGGCAGGCTCCGGCCTTAAGTTGCTTTCGCGGATTACGTTTTCAGCCAAAACGTTTATTTTTCGTTTTAAAAACGAAGAAATCGAAGAGAAATGTGAAAGCGGGAATACCAAATTATTTGAACTCAAAAGTAAATCGGTAAACTTTTGTGAAAGTGAAAACCGAAGCTTGGCTGCAAATTTAATATATTATATTATATTATTTATGTCTGAAATACTTGATATGGTATCCATTTTATCAGTGTTTGTGAAAAAATTAAAGTCAACTATTAAGCAGATTTGTTTTGCAATATGGTTTCATAAATCGATTGTAAGACACTTGTATTTTGATATCCACCTGGTTCTCTCAATTTTGTATCGTTTCACTTACCACTTTACCTTTTCCGTCGTTCTGTTGCCACCATCAACAGAGTTGGTGCAAATATCCGCCGTCCGTGTATATTACTACTATTGAATGTGCTTCCCTTAGCATAGGCAGTGGGTCATTTCTATGTATCTATTTGTGGGTGTGTATACATATTCTGTATTGTGTGTGTGAGAAGTCAGAAAAGCAAGAGCTCGCACAGGACATGACAGTCAAGCTGTTAGCGGCTTCTTTTTTGTTTTTTGCAAAAACAGTCGAACAAAAATGAAGCATTAAGGCCAACAACACGCAGACAACCGTAAATTTAAATTATTGAACAGACCCCCTCTGGAGGCCCCACCTCCTGCCCCCCACAGTCACTACCCCTGGAACTGGGGGCGTGACCAAACACTTTGACTAATTTCCATTGGCTGCACTTTTCATCCAACGCTGCCGTTGATTTCCTTGGAGTATTTTTGTCCGCTGCAAACTTTCCCAACGAGCAGAAAATGCATCGTTCACCGGGGGGAATTTGGGAGGTTGTTGAGTGGGTTGCTGTTCAATGGTCGTTGCGTGGGTGGTGCGTAGTGTAGCAGTGTGTGGCTGACGGAGTCGTTGGCTCGATGGGCTCCTTGTCTGTTTGTCTGTTTGTTGACAATGAATTTAGATAAACTTACGAAATTCGAAGCGCAAACAGCATTTGCATTTGCATAAATTTCTAGCACCCCTATAGAACAACCGCCTCCCGTCCCGTACCACACCATCACCCATAGCCAACCATAGCCAACCATAGCCACCCACATGCCCACCCCATCCTCCGCCATAGTCCACTTCGCACTTAATGCCAAAGTAAACGCAGCGGAGGCAAAAGTTGTGCAACAACTTTTACGACCAAACCCCCAAGTAACCCACCCACCGCCTCTTCTTGCTTTTCGCTTGCCCCACACCCTTTGATGCAGTGCAAGTTTGGGGCGCAGCAAAGCGCAAAGCAAACTTTACGCTGCTTTTGTATTTCGAAAAAGCTTCAATTGAACGCTGTTGAAATTCCTTGAGGGTCTCGCAGCAAAGTCATCTTCATTTGCAGCAAACGATTTTGCTGCCACTGGGTATTCCACACAGATCACCACACTGCCGCCTGCCTGCATGGCCTGCCTGCCTGTCCCTTGCCTACTGGCTGGTGCTGGTGCTGGTGCTGGTGCATGGGGCAGATGCTGGATGGCGGATGGGTCCTTCCACTGGTAATTGCAAAGGTTTCGCACCAGACAAATTAAGTTCGCTGCGTGGACGAAGGGCACACGGGGATGATGACAAAAGCAAGGTGACGCGCAACAACACCAGACGATAGAATACGATATAGGAGAGTGCTCCAGGGCCAGGGACACGGACACGGACACGGAAACGGATAGCGGCAGAGGGCCGGGGCAGAGAGACGGGGAAGGAGCAGCTTAAAGTTGCACCTGCCTGATGGCAAGGTTTAAATGGTAATCTGCCAGCGTTAATTGCTAGCTTAACGATAAATGGAGAGATAAATATGGGGTACACCATGTGGACAATACAGATATCATGGGTGGACACATAGTGGCTACTTGATGGATAGACATGAAGATAGAAATGTTAATATATTTTAGCTCTATTTGTTTGCAAATAATAATAAACATCTACTCGATTGCAGATGTACGCAATTACTCGCCAAGCGAACCTGTTGAGCCGCCTTGGCGACCTCGAGTGTCTAATCCTGCTGGTGTCCTGCATCTGCCACGACCTCGATCATCCAGGCTACAACAACATATACCAGATCAATGCCCGCACCGAGCTGGCACTCAGGTGAGTGAATGGCAATCTGTTGCATAGGTCATGTGGGATCCTAACTAACCTTAGCCTTAACTAATGTATGCTGCCATCAATATCAATCCCATCCAGATATAACGACATCTCACCGCTTGAGAACCATCACTGTTCGATAGCATTCCGTTTGCTGGAGCATCCCGAGTGCAACATATTCAAGAACTTTAGCCGCGACACCTTCAAGTGAGTTTCCCTCGTTGATTTAAGATTTAAGCTATATGTTCTCTGGATTTAGGGCTACTCATCCAAGGGGGTTGCTGTGTCCGCAGCCCGCGACGGTGTCGGACTTCGGGTGTGGATGTCGGCCGCCAGTGTCTGGTGTCCGAGTTGGGGAGCAATTAATTGCCAACTTGGCTGCGGCCACTTTATGCACGGCACGTACCAAATGGCATTGCATTAAACGCTTGCCCCATTGCCGTGGTAATTAACAGTTACCTGCACAGCTGCACTGTGCAACACCTATGCATCCCTGCGCCACGCCCCACCATCCCATGCCCCAGGCCACCCTACTTGACCCAACCACTCCCACTGTCTTTGCCACTGTCTGCAATTCATGGTAAGGCACGACTATGAAATGTATCGATTTGGTAATTAAAAAAAAAAATAAGTAGCGGATGTCCTTGTTGTGGTGCTGTTGCGCTTTAGGGGGGAGGAGGTCATTCTTCTCGCTGCACGATGCAGTGTCTGCAAATGAAGATTATGTTGTAATTGGCCCGGACAGGACATAATCCGGGCGCTTAGCTTGCCTATAACTTCATTTTGGCCCTTCAATGAGGTAGAGAGGTTGGGTAAGGTGCGGGTTCGCCGTTCGGCGAGGACCACTAAATGCCATCGAGAATGCAATACAGTCGAACAATAGAAAGGTAGGAAAGTCTGCACGGAACGAAATCAGATGGAATTCAATGGTGAGCATTGCGATAATTCATAAAAGAGTTAAGCTGCATTAAGTCGAACACAATCGGACACACTTAATTGGCGATGGCATCGCTATCACCAGCGATATGGCAAAAAAGGAAATTCTACTACGCATATAATGAAATTATTGCACGGATGCACGACAAAAACAAAATGTATATGGGAAAGATTTCCGGTTCATTAGTGAATGCTACAATAACAATACTAGTACAATAAATCGGCAACATTCGAATGAAATTTCTTTCTGGTGTATCCAATTTTACACGACTTCTTGTGAATGCACTCTAATAAATACATATGCTGGAAAAAATGGATGATAAATCAAAAGTAATGTAAAATCAAATGTAGCATCATTCGAGTCGGAAACCATTCAATCCCAATCGATATTGAATTCCATAAAAAAATTTGAACAAATATTTAATTGAATACAAAAAATCTACTTTAGGTAAATCACAATTTATCGATTGACCAATGAACATTCTGAGGTTTAAGTAAAGAGAGTCATGCAAAGAGTTTACTTTCCGCAGAATAACCCTTAATATAGTAAGACTAAGCGATGGCTTAGCGAAAAAATTTTCCGCGCACTCCCTCTCATTCCTGACCTTGCGCTGCTATAAAAAGTTTTAATCCCCCAGGGTATCCAATGCCTTAGGACCCGCTGTATCCTTTAGTAGCGTGGTTTTTTTCCGCGGTTTTTCCCATATTTTCATTTATTTGCATTTTTTTTTTTTTTGCATTCATCGCATGCATTTTATATTGAAAAATATTCCACGAACACAAATTAAGTGGATTAGCCGGGAAATGCTTTATTTTCCTACTCCTTCTTCAGCCTGCGACGACTTTGACTGGTGAAGAGAGGTGCTATAAAGTGGGGCAAAGCGGTCGTGGCAGTGGCAGCCCGCTGCCACATCATCATCATCAGGATGAGGAGCATCATCAAGCCACAGCGCAATCAGCAAGGAAAGGATAGATGCCCTTGGAAACAGCCTTGCTCTTCTTCACACCACTCTTTGAAAAATTCTATCCCTGCTGTACTCTCTATCTATCTACTCCTCGAATCCTTGGAGGCGTTTTGCTGTCAAGTTTGCGTGCATAAACTATTGCATACTTTAGGGATTTTCTGATGGCAAAACTCGTCGGAGAACACATCGTATACATACACACATACTATATAACGAATATACATAGTATGAACGAGTATATATATATAAAGTAAGATGGCAGATGCTGTCGCTGTTGCTTTTGTCAAACATTTTGCAATTGTCAGTCAGTTCTCATTATTAAGCGATTATTAGGCATTAGGAGACATGAGTGTACTTTGGAGACTTCCTACCACTTGTGACCGAAATTTGTTGAATATTTTTGTCACTGTCATGGAAAGAGGGAGTTGTATAGAGCACCAGAATCTGCTTTTCGCCCGCTAATCACCTTGAATAGAAAAGCATTACCTGATTAGAAGTGAGAATTTGACAATTTTCGTTGGACAATCACCTCCAAAATCTATCTTGTCCTTATCTCCTGTCATTCTACACTTATTTTCTCCCCACAATTCATGGGTTCCTAAGGAGTATATTTAGAGAAAAGTGGGGTGTTCCTGAATGGATGCAGGAAAGAAAGCCTAGAAAGCCGTCAACGATTAACGTTTATAGATCCAAACCAAAGAGGGCATTGCAAAGTACAGTTACCGATGACTTTACAATAGCCGTCGTCGCAGGAGTGTGATCATAGCCATATTCTAGTGGAAGCGGTACACATTTATTGATGCACAAGAACGAGGGAATAATTGGTTGAAAAGTCTCCGATAATACCCTTCGATAGCCTCACCAAATGCGACACTTGTCCGAGGGACTCATCTGACTGGCGGCCTTACACTGGAAGATCTCCAGAAACTCGGGAAAGTTTCCCAGCACGTTGTTGACCCGCTCCGAATGCGCCGCATGCTGCCCGGTACCAGCATTGCTGCTGTCGCCCCCAGAGGACGGTGCATTGCCACACCAGTTCTGAGCAAAGGCCACAAAAAAGGTCTTCAGTCCCCTGGGATCGGTTACACCTCGGTACGCGCGATGGTGGCGGTACGCCTCAAAGGCCAGGCGTAACCCCTCGGTGTCCGCAATGTTCTCGTTGATGGTGAGGGTGGCGTTGCTGTAGCGGGCACCCAGATAGCAGCCGGCACGCAGACCGAACCTTATGATAGCCCGTGGTGGCCATTGGCCGTTGGCCAGCTGTCCGGTGGCGTCGTAGTTTATTCCGTCGTAGTCGAAGGCGTGCACCATCTCGTGGCCCAGGATGGAGCCCATTCCGCCGGCCTGCCGGGACGCCTGGTCAATCGTATTGGAGCAGCGCTGCAGCAGTGGGCTGGTGAGCAGTCCTAATGGCAGCTCAATGGCGTTCTGCTTCAAGCGATAGTAGGCGTTGACTGACAGCGGGTCCAGGCCGAAGCCTTCCACGGGCGGAGAGTCACCGCAGATCTGATCCTGGCAGTCGACTACCTGCCGGAACTCGGCCATGGCCCGACTCTGGGACAACTGTAGTAGGTTCTCGTCGTAGCTGCTGCTCAGCGGCCGTGATACGGGCTTCTCCTCCGGGACTATCTGGGGCAGGACCAGCCGCATGTCCCGCAGCTTCTGTATGGCCAGTGTCTGGGTGCTCCGGTCCGCCTCGAACACGTCCGTTTCGTTCAGCTGGCGTTCGAACTGTAGCTGGAGGCGGACGAAAAGACGCTGGACACGCAGGACCAGGGCTTCGTAGGCCACAGGGTCGTCGCCCAGCGAGAGACGGATCTGCAACTGTGACAACTGGCGGGGCAGCAGCTGACTGAGCTGCTCCAAGCAGTGACGTTGCCGCACGTTGAGCTTCTCGTCGTCGTGCAGGTACAGCTCGAAATGCGCGGGCAGCTGGAGGAGCAGCCAGGTGGAGAGCACCAGCGGATCCGCGCTGTCTGTCCGCCCCAGCAGTCTCTGTAAGCGGCTCAGGTACTCCAGGTCGGCCACCACCAGCAACTTCTCAGTGGCGCCTGACGACAGTCCCTGAAGGAGGAGATCGAAGTAACGCCGAATCTGCAGCTGGGGCAGCTGCTGGTCCAGTTGGCTGAGGGACTGGGGTTCGCGCAGCACCAGCGTTTGCTCCACATCCGCGGGCAGCAGATCCCGCAGATCCCGTTCGAACTTCACCAACCGCTCGGCCAGGGCGGACGCACGTCGTACCCGCAGCCCCAGCTCCAGCAGGAGGCTTTTGAGGTAGCGCTGGTAGAGGAACTCACTCATTGAGTTGCCGCCGAGCAGCTCGAAGCCGGGAGGAAGCAAGTAGAAGATGCTCTGGTCCGCCGCTTGCCAGTTGGGTTGCACCAGGAGGCGCCACAGGCCCTGGGCCCCGAAGCGACGCAGCCCCGCGTTGGCTGCCACCCAGTCGAAGGCGGCGTCGTTGGCAGAGGCAAAGGCCGAGGAAGTGTTGAGCAGCGGCCAGTATGCCCTCCGTTCCAAAGCCTCTGTGTAGATCCGCAGGCTCTGCAGGCCGGACATGCAGCTCCCATAGAACGTCGCCAGATGATTTGACTCCGCTTTCAGAGAAAGCCCGTCGAAGTGTTGCACCAGCCGCTGCTTATGCAGGGCCGCCCACTGGGAGCGCCTGTCGTGCGCGCCAAAGCCCCGTTGCGTGCTGTTGGCGTACCAGTTGCCACACGCGTGCTGGTGAAAGTTCTCACAGGACGCCTCTCCAGTGTCCATATCATTTACCATCAGCCGTTGGCAGTCCTGCTCCCCGTCCCAACCCGACTCCGATCCCTCGCCGAAGTGCCAGTGACCCAGCAGGAGCAACAGTCCCAGACACGACAAGGTGATCCGCGGCAGCTTCATCTTCGCTTGCGTTTAGCTTCAGAGGCTTATGTGTACTGCTGCTCCCTTGCCGGGGCAAGTGCGTCGCGGACCGTCGGCGATAAGCCGCAGCTGATAACCGTGCCGTGCCCTGACATTCGCTTCTGGGCAATGCCATTGCGGCGAGGGCTACCCGAGGAGTTGCAGTGGGGAGGGAAAATCTATTTTTATACCCGATAGAGTATAGGTTTATATTCGATTTTTGGTGAAAGTGGATGTTTGTAACACCCCCTTCCGCCCCCACAACGGACGAAAATCTGTGGCATCCACAATTATAAAGAAATATCACAAATATCATAATTTTAATACAGCATCTGTTCTTCATTCAGTATTCTAAAAAATTATTTTTCAACATTATTTTTAATATATTTATTAATATCGATTAAGATTCATCCTTGAGACACCATTATGATCTGTGTATCCGATCAGTAACCCTTCATACCTTTTACCAAATACATACATACATACTTCAATGGGTTGAGGAATTTAGCGATGAGACCAGATACACAGATGCTGCCCTCTCACTCTCTCGCACACGCAAATCTCAGTGCGATAAGGTTTTTAGGTGGAAAGTCAAGTTTACATTCACTTAGCTTTGGGATGAAAGAAAGACGAAAACGAGGGGGAGATGAAAACGTGGTGAGAGAGTTGTTCTTTGCAAAGCAGAAATTAAAGCATTTCCCATTTCCTAATCGATATGAGAAAAAAAAAATTTTCACCATTTATAAATTCAATAAAGGGCTTTAATTTCCTTATAATGGATAGAAAAATAAGCATAATCTATCTATACCCTCAAAAATTGTTATACCGGATACTCAAAGAGTATAGAGGTACATATATTAGATTTTTGGTAAAAGTGGATTTGTGTAACACCCAGAAGGAAGTATATATAGTGTATATATTCCGACCCCATACAGTATATAGTACATACTATATATATATATTCTTAACCAGCATCAATAGTCCAGTCGATATAGCTATATCTGTCTGTCAGTCCGTCTTGTCTGACGGTTCTCAGAGACTACAAGAGCTATAGCAACCAAATTTTGTGTGTTAACTCCTTTGATATCACACTGGATCAATTTCTGTTTTTTTTAATTTTTCCACGCCCGCCAAACGAAAATCATAGAAAATTACCGTGTCTACCAGATTGCCGATTAACTTAGATCAGATCAATATTATAGCCCGGACCACAATTGAGATTGCAGTGGCTACGCAACGTCTTCCACGCGCTTACTCCTTTTCTCTCTCACATGTACGCCTTCTGTCGGAAGAAAGCGAGAAAGCAACACACATACCGTACTCAGACTGTGCTTATGCATACCGAGCACATACCGACTCACAACGTTCCCGCTCGTTTTTTATCGGAATTTGTTATACCCGATACTCAAAATGAGTATTGGGGTATATTAGATTTGTGGTGAAAATGGATGTGTGTAACGTCCAGAAGTAATCGTTTCCGACCCCATAAAGTATATATATTCTTGATCAGCATCAATAGCCGAGTCGATTGAGCCCTGTCTGTCTGTCCGTCCGTCTGTCCGTCCCCTTCAGCGCCTAGTGCTCAACGACTATAAGAGCTAGAGCAACGATGTTTTGGATCCAGACTTCTGTGATATGTCACTGCTACAAAAATATTTCAAAACTTCGCCCCGCCCACTTTCGCCCCCACAAAGGACGAAAATCTGTGGCATCCACATTTTTAAAGAAACGAGAAAACAGAAAACGCAGAATCGTAGAGGAGGACCGTATCTTCTAGAGTAGTATCTTCTTCTGAACCAGATCGTATAATTATTATAGCCAGAATCAAGAAAACAATTTCGTTCTTTCTCGCTCTGTCTCTCTCTAACACACAGGTTTCATGGTCGGTTTTGCCAATTGCAAAATATGAGTTCAATGATCTCAAAACCTATAAGAGCCAGAGCAACCAAATTTGGTATCCACACTCCTGTGATATCGGACCTTGACCGTTTTGTGTAAAAATTTCGCCACACCCCCTTCCGCCCCCGCAAAGCACGAAAATCTGGGGCATCCAAAAATCTCAGAAACTATTAAGGCTAGAGTAACCAAATTTGGTATCCACACTTCTGTTAGACCTCACTGTGAAACGTATATCTCAAAATTTCGCCCCACCCTCTTCCGCCCCCACAAAAGACGAAAATCAGTTGCATCCACAATATTGAGGATACGAGAAAACTAAAAACGCAGAATCATAGATAATGACCATATCTATCTGAATGCTGAATCTGGATCAGATCGGATAATTTTTTTTTAGCCAAAAGGAACAAATCAATTTGCACTGGCTACGCAGCGCCCGGCGTCACGCTCAGACTGATTTTCTGTCTCTCTCGCACGCACTCTTTGTCGTGTCGTTTAATATTAGCGCCGTCTGCCGAAGGAGAGCCATACTGACTTAGTATCGGGTATAAATGTAGAGTTGCGGTGTCCGCAGCAACTCACAACGTTGTCCCTGGTTTTTTTTAATTTTCCATACAAAATGTAAACACAATCAAGTATGCTTTGATCTATACGTGTGTGAGCTACGAGATTTGTGACTGTGACAGGTTTGCAACTTGATCATTTTCTGTGTGTGTTACAGTGAACAGCGCCAGTAAAACGCAAGGTGGCTCATTGGAGACATCGAACAAATAAAGCTACAACCATGCGAAACAGTAGACAATAGACAAAGTTCTTAACAAGAGAGATATGCGTGCGCTATCCTTACTTATGTTACTTATCGTTGAGTACCCAATCTCGAAAGTTAAGTTCTGGTTACATGAAAACCACAACAACAAGAAAAATTCAATCAAAATTCCGCCGACAAACAGGTGCTTTAGGGGGGGAGGTGAGCCATTGTGGTGTTGCAAGCAAAGAGTAAACTTAGAACCATCTGCTATGCTCCAAACCAAGAATCAAGGCGAGCGAATGCCAGATGCGAGAGAGTGGAGATGGGGGATACTCGTAAGTTTCGAGTTGAGCTTTGGCTGGCGCTCGACGCTCGGCGCCCGACGCTTTTCATGCAATTATTTAGTCATAATTAGCGCATAATAGTTGCCGTTTTTTGGGCAACGCCAACTTTTGCTCATTTCTCATTTTCCCCTTCACAAAATTCATCATCAGCGTTAGGAGGAGGCAAGAGCAAAAGCCACAGCAGGAGCAGAATACTACATACCAAAGAAGGCTAATCACTGCACTAGATTCTTTAAAAATATAAAAAGACAACTAAGCAGAACCACAGCTTAAGGTACCCCTTCAGCTATAAGTTACCATAATGAGAGATTGGCAATTGCAGAAAAACACAATGGTTACAGAGACGCAAAATTCGTACAATCCATGGAAATTTGTGGGCAACCCAAGGATGATTTTGGGTTTTTTGTTTGTCTCTACCAGATATGCTATTACCTAAACTACACCTGTACCACACCCAATAGTATGAATCTGTGCTCCATGCATATGACTAAACCATCTCTATTCAAGTAGCTGTCATCATAATCGCTGACATGATGGGCTACCATTGTATGCTAGTCCATATATTTGCTTTGTTATCCATTAAAACCCAAATTGAACTGCAGATACGGCGCACAAAGCGCCTAATTCCTCCCCCATTTCGTCGTGGGTGCACCAGATATTAATTAATTGAATGCCTTTACTAGGCGCCTCACTGCCGGTCGTGTAGTGCATGCCAGGAATATGCCAAATCCAGATGAAGATGATAATGATGGTGACGATGTCTGACATGGTTTGGATGTGGGTGTGGGTGGATGGGATACGTGTGCAGTGAGGAAAATGGTATTGGAGAACCGAAACGCATTTATTTGCGATTCGATATTTTCTTTATATAGACATTCGGAGACTCCATATAGTACCTCTTCATTTTGTTGCAACTCCGTTAAAATTATTTCTTCTAAGCAAAATTCTGCTTTTTTACATCTCTCTATAATTATTATACTGTATTCCATGGATTCAGCTTTTCCCGACTTTCTCCTCTGTTCTTAATATCTGTTATAAATTTCCATTGTTTCCATATTTTTATACCCGATACTCAAAATGAGTATTGGGGTATATTAGATTTGTGGTAAAAGTGTATGTGTGTAACGTCCAGAAGGAATCGTTTCCGACCCCATAAAGTATATATATTCTTGATCAGCATCAATAGCCGAGTCGATTGAGCCATGTCTGTCTGTCCGTCTGTCCGTCTGTCCGTCCGTCCGTCTGTCCGTCTGTCCGTCCCCTTCAGCGCCTAATGCTCAAAGACTATAAGAGCTAGAGCAACGATGTTTTGGATCCAGACTTCTGTGATATGTCACTGCTACAAAAATATTTCAAAACTTTGCCCCGCCCACTTCCGCCCCCACAAAGGGCGAAAATCTGTGGCATCCACAATTTTAAAGATACGAGAAAACCAAAAACGCAGAATCGTAGAGAATGACGATATCTTTTAGACTGCGGAATCTGAATTGGATCGTATTATTATTATAGCCAGCATCAAGAAAACAATTTCATTTTTTCTCGCCCTGTCTCTCTCTAACACACACGTAGCATAGGCGGCTTTGCTTAGAGTAAAACATTAGCGCCTAGATCTCAGAGACTATAAAAGCTAGAGCAACCAAATTTGGTATCCACACTCCTAATATATCGGACCGAGACGAGTTTGTTTCAAAATTTCGTCACACCCCCTTCCGCCCCCGCAAAGGATGCAGATCTGGGGATATTCATAAATCTCAGAGACTATTAAGGCTAGAGTAACCAAATTTGGTATCCGCACTCCTGTTAGATCTCACTATAAAACGTATATCTCAAAATTTCGCCCCACCCCCTTCCGCCCACACAAAGGACGAAAATCTGTTGCATCCACAATATTGCAAAATCGAGTAAACTAAAAACGCAGAATCATAGACAATGACCATATCTATCCGGTTGCCGAATCTGGATCAGATCGGATCATTTTTGTAGCCAAAAGCAAGAAATCAATTTTTAGTGGCTACGCAGCGCCCGACGTCACGCTCAGACTGATTTTCTGTCTCTCTCGCACGCACTCTTTGTCGTGTCGTTTAATATTAGCGGCGTCTGCCGGAGGAGAGCCATACTGACTTAGTATCGGGTATAACTGTAGAGTTGCGGTGTCCGCAGCAACTCACAACGTTCCCCCTCGTTTAATCCTTAGATCCTACATAAAGACCATTATTCGTTCTGCTACCACTAATTTTTTTGGTTTAACCGCATTTTCCAATCATATTTTCACCGAGCCTCGTCAAAATATCAGACATTGTTTCGTTATTAATGGGAGCGAAATTTTCCGCTACATTTTTGGCGAAATTCTATCAACAAAATGTTTAACTAAGCCGATTGATGCCCCAACCCACCATATCAAACCCCTTTCAACCCGCAGTCTCCTTCATATCCTTCATTGGCCAAAAAAGAGAGAGAGGGAGAGAGGGAAAATAATAAAATAAAATAAATATTTACCGCTGTGATAGACGCTCTATTTGCACTTTAAATGCAGAAGCTGCCAGGCTTACCTAGAATTTGAGACGGAGATGGAGTTGAAGTTGTTCCGGAAGGAGGTGTAGAGGGTGCAGTGGGGCAGAAGGGAGGGTAGCTAAAGTCTGCACCGTCAATGCAGCTTGACACGAAAAATTCAATTTTTACTTTGAAATTGGCTTGGATCTTTGTTTACCCTGGGAAACACATAAAGGGAGACGTATACCAACAATAAGTAGACTCGAGTACTTATAACTATTTTTGATCAGAATCAACGGTTGTTATAGAAATGGTCGATCAAAAAGACAGGTTTCTTCCAATTTATCTCTAACTTCTATATCACATAGCATGCTATAGGAACGATGATTCAAGGGTATTTAAACCTTCCACCCCGAATCAGGACATTACTTGCATTGCTCTTTCCATTTGACTTTGCCTCCAGGTCCTGGTTTTGATCCTGGGCTGTGCCTCAACTTCAAATAAAATGAAATGCAATTTGATATTTTACGCGCTGCATTTGTCCGTCACCACCATCTCCACCTTTACATCTTACCAACACTGCGCCATTTTGATTGGCCTTTTCTTTTCAAAAACACTTCATTGCCTTTTCCTCCGGTAAACACTTTTATTGGCCACACGAGAGCTATGTCAATGGAAAACTCAATCTGCACTTCAGTTGGGTTGAATGAGTAGGGGAAGAACAGGGAAGCACCAAGCACTGCAACGCAATTTGGATGTGTAACGAATGAACGGTTGGCAGCGCAGACTTTGGTGTTTTTCTCGTTTCAAAACTTAAGAAAAATGGAATCCCAGGAAGTCACTGCATAATGTAGGTGTCTGCTCCTAGTGCTGCAGAACCAAATGGAAGAGAAATGATTTGGAAGGTGTAAAAGGTCACAGGAAGGACAGATTATAAAAGGAATAGAGCGCTATTTAAAAGGTGTTCTCCATAGATTATCTCTTCTTCTGAATAGGTTTTTCGCAAAAATAGTTTTACAGTAATGTTTTCTTCTTTGTTTCCATCTCCAGCACCATACGTGAGGGCATAATTCGCTGCATCCTGGCCACCGACATGGCCCGTCACAATGAGATCCTCACACAATTTATGGAGATAACGCCCATCTTCGACTACAGCAATCGGGCCCACATCAATCTAGTAAGCATCGATATCCACTCCACTTCTCCACAGTTCTATTCGGTCTAATCCTTTCAAATCTGTCCTGAATTAGCTCTGCATGATTCTCATCAAGGTGGCGGATATTTCGAATGAGGCCCGACCCATGGACGTGGCCGAGCCGTGGCTGGATCGCCTGTTGCAGGAGTTCTTTGCCCAGAGCGCCGCCGAAAAGTCGGAAGGATTGCCGGTAACGCCATTCATGGATCCGGATAAGGTAAGCAAGCCAGGATCTCAGGTGCGCTTCATCGGTCTCGTTCTGCTGCCCCTCTTCGAAGCTCTCGGCGAGCTGGTGCCGGAGCTCACGGAGCTCATCATCATACCAGTGCGCATTGCCCTGGAGTATTACAGGTGAGGTGGCTCCGGCTCGCCCTCCGAAATGGATAATCAACTAACTCCCAAGCTGTGTTCCGATCCGTAGACGCCTAAACGATGCCCAAACCAAGACGCGGAAGTCCGTTGCCGACAGTAACACTTCGGACAGCAACAGTGGCACTATGGACTCCAATGCAGCCATGGTGAGCACACCGGGAGCGTCAGGCGACAAGATGATCATCGACAAAGGCCACGGCAGCACCCAGGGCGGAGGCGCCGGCGGTACCACTGGCAGCATCTCCCCCCAAATGCCACGCTCTGGATCCGGTATTAGTGTGAAATCGCGCCGTAGCATCCCCTCGCAGAAGTCCGCCTCACGCACCTCCGTTGATGAGCCCGGGGGCATGGCAGCTGAGCTGCACGATCTGCCCGAGGGAAGCGAAAGCGGCGACTCGGAGACGGCCACCGAGGTGGATGTAAGTCGTAAATCTCTCCCATTTAAATCTGTACTAACTTGTAGATTCCTTTACCCGATTACTATTCCCCGAATGACTCTTCGTTGCTCTTTTTATTTCTCAGGTTGCCGAGAAGACCTCCAAGTTCAAAGTAGACACGGAGGGCAGCAGCAACCGGAGCAAATCGTCGCACTCGAACTCGCGCAAGTCGTCGCGCGAGAAGCGCCCATCGATGATCGGGGAGCTGTGCAGTAGCGGCGGGGGCCAGCGCATACGCAACTCCTACGGCAACATCCACGGCTATCACACCAATCGCTGTCACTTCGGCAACAATAGGGCCGTGAGTCTCGACCAGTACAGCAGTGGCCACAGCCGGCGTCTGTCCGACGGTCTGCCCCAGGTGATCTCCGACAGCAACGTATTCTACGGACGCCACCACCAACGCAGCGGCCCCGAGTCAGCTGGAGCTACAGCCACACAGCGTGGCCAAGAGGACACCAATGCCAACACGAGTGCCGGAGCCGGAGCCAGAGCTGGGAGCAATATCCAGCTGAATGAACTGCTGGCCCGCACTGAAGCGGACTCAGATGCGGATGGCGAGATCAGTGCCGCAGAGATTCTGGCGTCGGCAGCAGCAACATCGTCACCGGCAAGTGTCCCCCTGTTGGCAGATGTCGCGGCAAGCGCCTCCTCCAATGGCAACGTGTCGCCCAGTGGACAGCAGCTGGAGCAGATCGGGTTGGCCAGCAACGGCGGTAGCAGCAGTCGGGCCACGCCCAGTGCCAGCCAGGCCGGAGTCACCGCAGTGTCGAGTGTTGTCGCCATGGCCGGCGGAGCGCTTGGCGGAGCCGGTGGCAGCTCCGGTAACTCCGGCTCCGGCTCCGGTTCGTGGAAGTCGCGGCTGCGCCAGTTCTCGGACTACTTCAGCTTCAGCTTTGACAAGGGCAACAAGCGCTTTGGCAGCACCCGCAGCAGTCCCTGCCATGGTCGGGCCAACAACAATGGAACCGGACCCGCACTTAGTACCGGCGACAGCAACATCGCTTTGGATGCGGCCAGAGGAGGAGGTTCAGGACTAGAAGCTGGTTCTGGGTCTGGAACGAGTGGCGGTAAGCCGCCGTCCATATGCTGTACCATTTCGAATAGCCAGCAAGCGACATCGGGCGGAGCTGGAGCTGTAGGTGGCGGAACGATGCACCGTCATCGGGCCTACAGCCTGGATGTGCCCTGCAGCCGCGACCAGGGAATAACACGCCACTCGTCCAACGACAGCAGCCGCCAGTCGTCTCGCCACGACGACAGCAACAACATGCTGCACAGTGCAGGCGGTGGAGCCGGCGAGGTCCCCGGTATACGCATCGCATCCGTGGACGGGGTCGTGGTCATTCCACCCAGCCTCAACGTTGAACTGGAGCTTGGACTGGCCAGTGCCTCCTCTTCGGAGGTAGTGCCAAAGATTTGACAACAGGGGAGCACCTACGACTCCAGCACCGAAAAGACAGCCACCGATATCTCGCTGTCCCACCCGGTGCCCATCCTGGCCCTGCTCCCGCCGGAGGACATCGATGACGATGAGGATGCGGAAGATCCGGAGCACCAGCTGCAGCCGGACGCCGCCAGCAACTGCGAGGTCTCCGCCATATCCATTACGGTATGGTCAGCCATCGGGCAGCGGCTCAACGCCCTCGTGTGCCATTGCTGCGAGCGCAAGTTGCCGGAGCCCGAGAATGTCTAAATGACTTGCCCCCCAGAGGCACCCCCGCCCGTGACAGCAGCTGTTGGAAGGTTTGGCAGTCGACTGTTGTTTTAATCGATTTTTCCTCTCCTTGTTTTTTGTTTACCACTTAAGTATTTTTTATTTATGTACACCCACACATACATACACCCACACAAATATATACTGCATATATATACCACATTCAATCGATAACTGATCCACATCAACCCTAAATATGATTGGCATCTAGAGACTTCTTCTACCTTTTGGTTACCCGAAGATCTAATTATAGATCTACAGAATAGTTTATTCACAAATGTCCGCTCAGACCGGCCGATAAATATAATAATTGTAAGAAACAAAAAATACCTCTTTTTAGAGAATTTGTGAAGACGCAACTTTTTATGGATATACATATGTATCTCTCGATTATATGTTCCAGGGCCAGTTCGGCGAATTCGAAACATTCAAAAACCTGAGGCAGTCCCGACCATTGATCGGCCCAAGTGCAATCAAAAAGTAATATTATTTCGGAAAAAGTGACGGAAAAGTGTGTGGCCATTTCATAAGAGTATAGCGCCTAATCAGAAAATAGCATACCTTTGTCGACAGCTTTGAATTCCAACAGCCGATCGCAAGCAAAATCGAAAAATAAAATTAATATAATGACATCCATCATACGAAAAATATGGAGAACCAAAAGGAAAACCAACTCCCAGATACCCTCAAGGCCACTTTTTCAAATTAGTTTCATCAGCTTTTTCTCGTTAAAATTTCAAAGTAATTGAATCCGAGAATTTCGCGTTACATATTGTCTTCAGCTTGTTCTTCTACTATAGGCTCTGAGCCGGCCAATTCCTGAGCATTTTCCCATTTTACCAGAAGCCCGAAACAGTCGTGAGCCGAGATGTTAGGCCCTGTGAAGAGTCGAACGCCATGCCCTCCAAGTGGCTACCGAGCCGCACTGATTGCCAGACATCAGTGTGGGTCCCAGACCCAGACCCAGTCCCAGTCCCAGTTGCAGTTCCAATCTCGTTTTCATGCGAAATTCACGAATAATTACGCAAAACAAATTTTCTGCCATTGCGAATGCAGTGGGGCTTGGCCTTTCATTCGGAGTTGCAATCTGGCCAGCTATAGTCCTTGGTCCCAGGACCGACGTCTGCCTAATTCCATTTGTCAGTTGCGCGGTTCGATGTTGCTTTTTCCTCCCCTATTTCTGGTTGCTTTTTTGTTTTTGCATCCCCCCAGCCCCAGCCGAGTCCCAGCCGAGTCCCAATCCTATTCCCACTCCTGCAGTCCCTAGAAAGTCATCAAGTTTTTGGCAGGATGGCCGCAGGAGCGACTTTCATGGTGATACAATTGGGTTTTTACAGCTGCCGAAGCTGGAGCCGATTCTCATGCTGGCTCTGATGCAGTCCGGTGTTTATGTTGTTGTTGCTGATGACAGCACTCAATTAGTGGGTGGATAGTGAATTGCAGTTACTACATAGAAGAAGCAATGTGTGATTACATTGACATTTTCACGATTTTGATTATTCACGAAATTCGGTTGCAATTTTCAGCTGCTACTTTGTCGGGGGCTGGGGTCGGGTGCTGAGTCCATGGCGAACCCCCAACCCTCAATATCAATTTGCGAATCGAGTTTCGAATCTCCTCGGAACGAATGAAACAAACTCTATCCACATATCCAGCGAATGGGGCATAGGAGACCAGGACCTGTCATTATTGTCTATGTAAATTTCTGTATGTAATTATGTTAAGTATAGCTCTGCACATACACACACCAGAACACACTAACTCGCATTCACAGGAGGGCTCTGTATGTGCGAGCTGATGAAATGTGCTGCCTACTTTTCAGGGAAAACTTTGAGCGGCAATGCCGATACTTTGATTCAATTATAAACTAGACAGCATCGAGTTTCGAATAATCAAATTATGGAATTCTAGATGGAATACAATATATTGTACGAGTAGATGGAAGATGGAACTTAGAAGTTAGGATTAGCCGAGCTGGCCCTTGGTGCACATTTAAACCGTAAAAAATGTATTTATTTTTTTTGGTCAAACTTAAGCTAATGAGCATTCAATTGGCGACGGACCTGAAGAAGACTTAGGTCGAAGCTACAGTTAAGCTTAAGTTACAGCTAAAACCAAAGTCAATAGGTGTTTACTTGATGTACATTTAAGTGTCTAGCAAATCGCAACCTTATCGAGCAGAACAAATTAACTTATTGTGCATTGTAATTGCAGCCTCTGTGTAATTTTTCCCTTTACAAAAAATGTGTGTTGAATTTGATGTTAATACTGATATTGATGTTGATGTTGATGTTGACTCTGGTGTCTTAAGTGCATGTGAATATTTGTTGCAGAGCATAAGTCATTGAATAGTATACAGTACGTATGGTATAGCCGCACAGGATTGGTGCGAACAGTGGGTGGAACTCGCGAGCTCCGATCGCTATGCGGGTCTGCTATACGCGTAGTTAGACTTTTGAGGACGGATGTCTAGTCGTTAGATTAACGAACGTATTGATGTAGGTACATACATTTATCTGTACCAAGATCAACCAAGAGAATTTCGATTCCTACATGTACTCGTGTTTTGATGTGTATGGCTGTACCTAAAGCAAATTAAAGTCTAGCAACCAACTCGTACTCCAAATTACATAGCTAACACATCAAATTGATTTGTTGCCTTATACTATTGTACTACTGATTCTACTACCACTATACGACCACTGCTGCGTTGCAGCTGTGTTGGTGAGCTTTCGAAGCCTCGGCCGTACGCACCGCCGCCGGACCTGATTGAGTGCGCGTGTGCGTTTGAGTCGTTGCTCTCCGAGTCGCAGCATTTTATACTTATATTTACTCGTATGGATGCATATTGTTTATGGCCCCAACTTCCCTACTTCCCTTGTTTTGAATGAAAAAGATAAAGACTAAAACTTGAATTTAAACGAAAACCAACAAATGCAAAACAAACAACTTTCCAAAAAAACCAAAACAAATAAAATGTAAAAAAAATAAAAAAAATATATTTATCTTAAAGATACCACAACTACAAATCATACAAAAAGAAACTCTAGGTGTTTTACAAATGTATAAAAAAAAATCAAAAGATAACAAACCCAAAGGAATAACCAAATGTAAGCCATTTTAAGTATAATTAAACTAGTTTATACATAACTCTAAAAGAAACAAAAACCCAAACATATTTGCAGACCAAGCAAGATCTTGGCAAGAAACAAAGCGAGAGAAGGTCCTGATTCGGCTGGCCGAACCAAAATATACCCCTGCAATGAATTATATTTCACATGAGTATTAGGGGATATTTTGTAGCCGTATGTTACTGATGGGCTTTTGGGCATATCCGTCAGATCAGATGACCACGACAACGTTTCTTTTGTGAAAGCTTCTTTCCCAATCGATCATTTCTAGAATAGCTATAGAATATTACCGGCGGAGTCCAATGAAAAGACCGCAACAAGATCTACACAGGACACCCTTTGCAGGGGTATTTCACATCATTTTCGGTGTTCAAGAATACTCGTATATTAAGTGTACTTTCTGGCAGTCAATTAAACGCTTTCCCTCTTCCGAAAGTTGGTAGCGAGCGATGGGGCCCACAACTTATGGATCTGATCTGATCCGTGTATCCGGGCCGGTATAATAAGTTCCAAAGGCAAATGTTTGTGTGTACCTATGACATATTTGAATACTTAGACAAGGATATGAGCAATTTGGACCAACTTGACTAAACTCACCCCTACGCCACTAAGCAAAAACAGAAGCAGATACAGAACTCTTTACTCGTGCATATGTATGCATGTGTAGATGTAACAGACACACACACGAACACAGACAAACGGACACACCCAGACATAATCTTTGTAACAGTAGGAGTAGCACTACATATCGCCTTAACTGCAAGCGCGTAGGTCTCTACAAAAATGACCTGTCGTCAAAACGAGCAGAGAGCAACACAAACTAACTTATCAAAGAGCAGAAAACAAGAAAACCAAGAAGAGAGGTGGCATCTATAATACCAAACAGTAAAACAGAAAGACAAGAAAATAATGAAATAATGAAATAGGGAGCTATATAACAAAAAATGCAGCAATGTTCCCATTTTGACTTTCGTTTCCGTTCTGCGATCTCACATTCATATGCATTTTTTTGTTAGTGCTATTATTTTCTAACATAAACATATCGTCTGTCAACTGAACCATACAATATATACATATAATATACATGTACATATATGTATATGGCTCCAATTTTAACATTTGAACGAATCAAATCCGCTGAGTAAAATATATACAATTTCCAATCTAAAATTTAAGATTTTCATCTATTTCCGAATGTGCGATTTGGCGAAGCAAAATTCGGCTGATTCGGGAGAAAGTGAAAATTGGAACTCGCCCTTTGTCCATACCAGAGATGCAGAGAGGTAGACGGGGATGATGATGGGTGCAAAGTGTATATTAGGCATTATTATGGATCTACAACGTAGAGCGTTCAAATACACCTTGGATCGACCTACATAAATACATCTTACCCTTTATAATTTCGTACGTAACTTACAATGCAGATAAAGAGCATACAAACAACTAAAAATTCAAGAGAAAAATTGCAAAACGGTTTCCAACAATAAAACATTTTTAAACACACACACACACTCTCAAATTTTCTGAGTGCGTGGCTTTATAGGAGCTTAAATTTGTCCAAATGCACCTTGGGCATCCCCATCCCCATCCTCAAGCAAAGACAAACTCAAGGACACAGCCGAGTAGCTTCTCAACAAATGTGCAAAGAGAGAATTATAAAGATAGGGGAATAGAGAGACGCTTCAAAGAGCCCCCTTAAAAAAGTGCTTCTCGCAGGAGAAGAGAATTTATAGAGAATCACCTTATCCGCTGAGCTGTCCCCTGTGTCAGCGTCAACCACCGATAATGGACCACACAAACGCATGATCCACACCCGACGATACCCCCCAAATGTATCCCTGACATAGCGCTCTCCTCCAGACTCGATAAAAAATGTTTCATACGATTCCACTACTAAAACTAAAACATTAACTTTAACTAAACCTACTAATATGTGTAATAGTGACCCTCCTGACAAAGCCTTTACTTCAAAACACACACAACAAAATACAAAGACTAACGTTTTAATATACAAACCCAAAAATAAAGCTAAACAAACAAAAAATAAAGTAAAACTTTAAATTAAATTTTAAGCAAGACAAAATAAACCAAACAAAATTCAGCAACAGCACTCTTCGGCAGGCCGAAGCTTAGATGCTCTCTCAACGACCGCATATGTACAAATGTACACAAACTCACACTCACACAGCCGTAAATAGAAAGCTACATGTATTATATATATATATGCCTGATCCACTTGCTCTTCAGTGTACTAGAAACGGTTTTTTCTCCTCATTCTGAAAGAGAATCCAACACAGAAAACACGAGGCCTGGGATACCCTTGCGAAATGTATGATATATGTACGGATGAGGTGATACGATATCCAAAATCGAAGACTATTGATGATCAACGACCAATTGGCGATACAATTTCTGCTTGGGTGTCCGTTCCTTGTAATATCGTATACGGCTTTTGCAGGGGTATTACAACGCCATATACACTTTCAAGTTTTATGTCAATGAATCTGATCGATATATACATACAATATATATACTATATACATATACCGAATAGAACTATATATACATATATACAAATAGCTATAAATTTTAAGAAAACGCAAACCAATTCAGAGTGCAAGCACTCCTCCCAGACAAACCGTGCAGAATCCGTGCAAATCGAGAGGAAACTTCTTGCAACTCTGGTAATTCTGGTAACTCTCTGGTAACACATAAACAGTGGGGCATAGATCCATGGATCACCTAAAAGAATTCTGAAAAAGATACTTAAACATTTTACCCGACTCTATTGTGTTGTTTAAGCTACAAAAAAAGTATATATTTAAAGGCAGAACAAAGAATAAGTGTAAATTAATTAAATATGCATGCATGCAACGGCAACCTGGCCACCCTGTAACGTGTGCACTTGGCAACACAGCAATCAGCAATGCCCCTCCACTCCCCAAAGCCCCCAAAACCCCAAGAACTATATATATTATATTGATATTTTTCTGATCGAAAGAAAATAATTCTGAGAAGACACCAAAGAGTAAAGAAAACCAGAGTAAATTCTATGTATACAATGAAAAAATCCAAGCAAGATGGAATAAATAGTTACATACACATACCTATACCTATACATATACATATACATATACATATACATATACATATACATATATATATATACATATATACATAAATACATACATGGATGTATTATAAAACTCTTGGCACACTGGAATCGCGGGGGAACGGAACCCCCCTGAAACTCAAATCAAATCACACACCCCACATCCATGCCCAAAATAAGCGATAGGGAAGACACAGGAAAACTAAAATACATTCTATGAAACTTTTCCCAAAATGCATTTAAGTGGCACACAAATATTTAAATGAGATCAATGAAAGCAACTTGTATTTAACACTTAAGCTATGTCCAACTCAGATAATGGCGCTCACACACAGATACCGACAGAATTACAGAGAAACGGACAGCCGGTACACACAGCATACGAATACGAACGAACCTATGAGACAAACATATACATACATTACCGAGGACAGAAACACTCTCCCTCTCACACACACAAGTATTTTTGTGTAAACGTTTAGAAACAGAAAATATGAAACTAATGAATGAATATGAAATACATTAAATAAAATAATTTCCAAACTACTCATTAAAAAAAACAACAAATTTTGAAGTTTACAATATAGAATGCAAAAAGAAAAAATAGTAGGAAGGAAAGAACGGAAGCAGCTCAAAGTAAAAAAAAAACAGTCTGTTTACGCGGAAATAGATAAACATACATTTCCTGGGTGGATTTGGCTGGTGATTCAACCACATTTTGAAAATCGCTAGATTACATAAAACTTTTTTTTTTATATTTACAGCGAGGTTGGAGTTGAAACTGTTAGCCTAGCTTATTTAAAAATAGCACTCGTTACTAAGACCTTCGGCTATGGTATTATTATATTATATTATTAATATAATTATTATGAGTTGAGATATGTATATTCCATGGGTTTTAGATTAGATTAATTGGTATAAATTTGTTTCTTTTAAATAGTTTATGATTTGGGCAATTTCAGTTTTTGATGGGTTAGAAAGAAGTGCCAGGGGCTTAGTGTTAGAGAAGATTTTGGAACGTATGTCTCTGAGTTGGGAGGATGGGCAGTCTTTAAGTAAATGTTCTATAGTTATTGGGACGTTGTTCTGGCAATTCGTACAAGTATTTGTTTTAGTAGGGTCTAGGTAATGTTGGTGAGATATTCTTGTATGTCCTAGTCTTAGTCTAATTATTTTTAATTAAACTTACAAATTCCAAATAACACAGCAAAGAATCTTTAAGTGGAAAAAAACAACAAGGTAGAAACTGAAGCATAATTTTGGGTATTTGGAAATGGTTTTTCTAGGCCATGCTTCAACAGGATGTAGTTAGGGACTATTCCCCATTACCCTTTGTAGCACAGTAGCACTAAAGCTTAAAGCTTCCAAAGCCGCAAAAGGTGCAAATTACTGATAGGAGAACGCTTTTAAAGCTGTGGAGCTTTCGAATATAGCTTAATTCGCGCGGAAACCCTAGAGTAGAAATAGACACTGGTCCAAGAAGCTTTGCCGAGCTTCAACACAACATGTTGCATGGGGTTTCGGTTGGAATGCGGCAGGCAGGAACCCCATCAGTCAGGCGGAAGCCTCAGCGACATCGCCAGCAGCAGTTTCAGTTGACTCTTCCACACGCAACGGGCCAGTCGGAGGCGACGCTTGACGACGCGGACCCAGCTCGGACGCCGACTCAGACTCAGATACGGCTCTGCTTCTGCTCTACGCTCAACGCTTCACTCTACACTCAATCTGCTTCCCCCCATCCAGTCACTCAGTGTCGTCTATCTGTCGGTTCGTTGTGTGTTTGCCAAGTTTACACTTTCCGACAAAAGCGAATGGCAAAAGCAATCAGCAAACACCAAGACAGAGTCCCATAGGCCCAGTCAAGGTGTGTTAATATAAGGTGAGGCGAGGCATTTACGATCCTCGAATCACGTATATGCCACTATAATTAGAGACCTCTCTGGGAATGCTGCACCTTTTAGAAACACACTTTTTTACCGACCGCGTGTTGTTGCTGCTGCTGATGTCGCCGCGTTAAAGTCTATACCACCCACCACCCACGGATGTTCTAACGGCAGAGTGCTTTATTGCTGTGTGTGTGTGTGTGAGATGGGAAATTTGTGTTTTGTTTTGTTTTACCATTTCTCTCTCACTCATCAATCTCTCTGCATTTCTCTCTTCCTTTTTTTTATTGTTTTTTTTTGTGCTTGCGTGCAAAATTTTTGTTGGTCTCAAAAGTTAAAAAAAATTTTACGTGAAATGTAAGTAAAATAAAAATCAAAGAGAACCTTGAAATGTCCCAAAAAGAAAGCAATCAAAAAATAACCGAAAAAGAGAGAATAGCAGTAAAAGGAAACGTTAGGGAAAATCAATGCGCGTTTGCGTGAGATTGTGTGTGCGTCTCGTCCTGTGTGTGTGTGTGTGTGTGTGTGTGTTTGTGTGTAAGTGTGTAAGTGTGTGAAAATCCATAAAGCGTGCTGCGGCGTAAAGTGAAACTCGAACTTGTCGGCAGGCTGCCACTGTCGCCCCGCACCACACGCCACCACTTCCTTGAGGCTTGCGGAAAATGCCATTGTGTGCAACATTTCTCTTTTTTGGCAACGGCAATTCCTGCAAAAGCCTCCTCTCAGCAGCAGCAGCAGCATCGTCATCAGAGAAGGAAGCATGAGAGAAGCCAACGGTAAACAAGGAACCCGTTAAACAGCTGATACCCTTTCAGACTGCAGGCCAGAGCGAGACAAACACACGCATCCACTCACACACATACACTGTAAAAACAACGACAGAGAAGAGGTGCCTGCCAAAAACTATCTGTCGACACGAGAAGCCAGGTTGCATAGTGGAACAAATGTGCATGAGGCTGAGCAAACAATAAAGAAGAAAATAAAGGGGGAATTAAATTCGATTAGTTACATAGTTTATAAATATAATTGATAGGGGAAACACTTGGTGTCTGAACCGCTCTAATTCTTTTCCAATAATCATCATCTATCACACACACAGTTACACACAAGTGGTGCAAAAAGCAGTGGCTTGAGCCTGAAAGCATTGTGCAGCTCCCACACGCCGCCGCCAAGTTCAAAATCAACGCCTGACAATGACAGCTGCATCGACGTGGCTGTGCCCACTAGGCCAAGCAGAGACTGAAGCAGAGACCGAGCCATCTGCAGCACCAGCATCATCTGTACTGGCAGCAGAAGCGACTCCAATCAAAACAACAAGAGCAACAAGGATAGCTCCAACTATTACAAAAGCGGCAACAAGAGAGAAAAGCAGCAGAACAATCAATGGGCTCGACACGACAAGGCGAAGTCGTCAACGAGGCTGCACCCAATGGACGGTGGTGGGAGCGGGTATAGGCGTCAGCCTATGCCTGGGAGAGAGGACGATGCCAACGGTGACGTCGCTGTGGCTGCTGCCATCGAATGCGACATCTTGGCTGCTGTTAGCCCTCCTCTGCCTGCTCGGCTGCCTCTGCCCCTTCACAGGTAATTAGTGAGCCCGCCACTCGTTTTTGCCCCATATATTTCATATACCCTATGCATGTGGTATTCCGATTTTGACCAAATATTTTCCACGATATAAGGGAACCTCTCCCAACCAGCCTTCAACTTAATTTTATCGAGACGGGATGACATCAGAGAAAAAGTTTTTCTGAAGATACCATATGAACGAGAGTATAGAAAGATTCGTGGCCCTTAAAACGGAAAGCATTTCTTAGTTATTGCCCACGAAACTAGAAGATTTTAAAGTGGATGTGTGTAAAGCCCAGAAGAAAGCATTTCCGACCCCATGATGTATATATATTCTTAATCAGCATGTTTAGCCTATGTCTGTCCAACCGTGTCGTTTGACGCCTAGTTTTCAAAGACTATTAGAGATAGAGTATACAAATTTTTGTATTCAAAATCCTATAATATCAGACTGAATCAAGTTTTTTTCAAAATTTTGCCACGCTGCTTTTCCCCTCCACGAAGGACGAAAATGAGGCATAAAAAATTTTGAATATACGAGTAAATTGACCTTATCTACCAGAATGCTGAATCAGGATCAGATCGGATTATAATTATGGCCACTCGCAGTGTGCAGCGAGGTTTATCGGCTGCAGTGGGTGTCGGAATAAAAAGAAGCGACAGATGTCAACAACAAAATTGTAATTGTAAATTGAATATATCAAAATCTGCCAAGCGATTCGATCGATTTTTATAGAAAATTTGTTGTCAGAAAATGAATTTGTCCCTTTTACAAATAGCGAAATAGCGAAAACATAAATAATAAGCTCACATACATATATACTGAATAAGAACCGGGTATAAAGTAGAGCCGCGACCTTTGCCGCCGCTCACAACGTTACCGCTCGGTTTTCTATCTTTCCCACACTCTCGGGTGGTTCGTGAGGGGGGTGGGAATAATGGGCATCGAGAAAAAAACTCAATTTGCAAACATTTCTTTTCCCATAGCGTATACGCACACACTCAACTGTGTGTTTGTTCTTGAACGTGTGCGTGCGTGTGTGCACATTGATTGGCGTTCATTTGCATGCCCCTATTCTCTTGCCACTTTTTCCTGTCACAACCTTTATCGAACCAACCAACCAATTGCATGAGGGAGCGGGGGCAACAACATTTTTTGATCAAGCTGATTATCCCCAGAATTACTTTCACGTCACCCACGCTTTAGACCCTTACGTTCGAAGGCGCACACTATGTAAAGATTTTGTCAGGAATTCTGTACCCACCCTCGGAGAGATATTTTCCCCACTTTTTTCTCCCACTGCCTGTCCAACATTTGGCAGCCTGTCGGTGACTGTTTTTTTGCTACTTGCTACTTGGATAGTGGTCAACTCTACATCAAAAAGAAAAGTAGGTTAGGGGGCAGGTAGCAGTGAGTCGGCAATAAAATTATGACAGTAAATCCAATTTTGCCAAGGTGAACGACGCTGGAACTGAGATGCCATCTTTGTGTAAATATACCTTTATTTGGAGACGCCGTTTTCGTTTTCATTTTGATTTCTGACGATCGACATGAAGATCGTTCACTTAAAACACTGATCGGCACAACCCAAGCTTGTAGGCATAGGAAAGTGATTGATTCAAGAAGCTTTTGTCTGGAAAGTATTTTCCAGTGCGCACTGTAGCCAAGTACTCAATCAAAATTGATGATCCTGTTTTCGTTTTTATGTGCCAGCCGGTGCCGAGTCAGGGCAATTGAGCGAATGAGAAAACAATTACAGCGGGCTGCCTGACGAGTGTTAAAGGGCTAAGGTAAAATCTGGCGGAGTGAGGTTTGGGGTAAGTTGTGTGTTTGAGCTTGGTTGTTAGATATTGGATATTGTATACAGCCTTGACTTTGCACATGCAATGCAGTGCACCCCACATCTGACCTTTCTCAAACCCTTCCTCGTAAAGGACTTTCCGTGCTTTAATATCCCAAAATCAGAACATTTGTAATATCGCAACAGAAACCCACACCAAAGTAGCAGTTATACCAGTGCACAGCTGTGGCGAAGGCAGTTCCCTTGTCTGCCTGAGGCACTTTGTAGCCCGCTTACAGGCGCCTTGAGCTAATTAATTTCACTCTAAGTTCGTGGGTTGTCAGCGCTAAGCGCAGGCTTATATAAAGTGGCCCCAGGTCTTGTGTCCCTGTCCAGCGATCGATCGATTGGGTTTCATCTAATTACTCGTACAATGGTTCCGGGTCTGGGTGGGCTCTTTTCGTGCTGGGTGGGGATGGTGGTGCGCAATCAATCGACCGTTGAGTGCTGATAGGCTTCAGTCGAGTGTGTCCCTGAATAGGGGTGATTATACTCAACGATGCAATCGGATGGTCAATCAAATCATTAAGTGTCTAATCCCTGGCCTGCACCAGGGCCACAATCTGTGATGCTAAACATGTTGCTTAGAACCCCTTGCGACACGTGCGCGCAGCCAGTGACAATGTGGAAAGGCTAGACAGAGATGGAGACAAAGACTGTCACAGTGTCCGTGCTAATTACATTGCACCACCATCACATGACACTCATAATGGTTTTATAATCTTTGGTTCCGTTAACAGCTTTCCAAAGCCATGGCCACAACAAACGTCGACAGCACTTCCTTCTTTTTTCGCTTTTGCTTCTCCAAAGATTTTTTTAGCCTCTTAAAAAAAACGAAAATAAAAAACACTCACTTAGGCTCACACAAACAGAAAAAATGTCTTGTTAGTGTGGGACAGCGAACCGTGGTTCGTTTTATCAAAAATCTTGGCGAAAATTAAAAATTCCAGGCATAAAAATGTTAATGGGAATGGGAAAAAAACTGCGCATTATTTCGATATAAAGATTTATATGTGGGTAGGGTAGGGTATAGGTTGAAGAGCTTGAAGGGCCTTTTTGGGCGCAAAAAGAGGATCTTTAGAGTCGAAAGAACAGGCAATCATAGAGTCGAATACTCGGTACCACCACAGAGGACGAAAATGCTAATTCTATTGAAGAAAACTAATAAAAACGGTTCTACTTTTATTCCCGGTAATCAGTCAGAATATATTCGAGCTTATGGTTATATGTAATATATACATACAGTGTATTTTTTTTGGTATCGCTGTTCGCATCGATTTGATGCCGATCGAGAATATATATATGTACTTTATGGGATCGGAAACGATTCCATCTGGGTGTTACACACGCCCACTTCCATCACAAATCGAATATACCCCTATAATCTTTGTGTATCGTGTATTAAAAGGAGGAAAAATACCTTAATAATAAAAATGTTGGTGGAGCATATTCAATGATAGATTTGAGTATACGCCTACATTTTCCAATTTCCCAAGTATAAAAACTAAACTAGGTTATGTTTGGTTAATCCGGACGGTCCTCAGTGCGGACACTCATAGGCAAATTTTACCCTTAGTTTTTCGGATGGGGGGGTATGAGCCGTCGCAAGGGTTTTAAGAAGCTTGAAAGTCTTCGATAATTTAGGTATTTTTGACAAAGTCAAAATCCCTTGGCGTTTTTTGTAGGCATCTTCCAGTGATGCCAGCACTGGGGGTCCCAGGTATCTTCGCTTTGCCCGTGAGAGAGCCATGCAGTTGCAGATAAGATGCTCAAGGCATCCAGCTGCCTTTCTTCGTGATGCCAAGTTTGACTGCGGGCGCCGCAGAAAGTCTGTGACCTGTATTCGCAGTATTCCCTTCCCTATTCTGAGTTCCATTGCGATCCTTGAACATGAATTTCGTACAGCAGATATTGGTACTCTACCTGCTTTCGGTCTGTATACCGGCTTGTTTCTCTAAATCGCTTTGTAGCGTTCTAAGGAAGACAGTCACTTTCTCAGTTCTTCCGTTCGCTCAACGCCCTTCTTAGCCAGAAGTGGTTGAGAACCCAATAGATCCACACTGACTTTGTCGTGCTTAGGGTATATAATGCTTCCCTAAAACTGAACTAAAAATAAAATAAAAAGAAAATAAAAAGACGTTTTAAAAACACCTCTATCATTAGAAATATAACAATTTTGAGTACTATTCAGTAAATATGTCAAATCAATATCTATATTCAAAGTATTGCAATACATTTGGAGAGGACTGTGCCACTGTGCAGCGCTCACTTGTGCGGTGTGTCCGGAACCACAAAAGCAGGCAACCACAGTGAGGGAAGGAGAAAAACCTGATGGCTGCACTCACTCAACGATGCCGCCATGACCCTGCCACTTGCCCAAAGTTCCCCACCTGAATCCCCCACCCCACCGCCACCACCACCACTTCGTGTGCCACAACTGCCACCCTTCGCCTGGCCACAATTGTCAGCATTTATGGACGGTTCCGAGGAAAGAAACAAGGCTGCAACCAGCAATGGCATTTGATTTAATTTTGTTGTTGCTGTTGTTGCCAGCATTGAAGTGGCTGCAACTTGACTGCTGAAAATCGAAAATGAAATTGAAAATTCTTGAAGAATACTTCTCAGACAGTTCGGAAAAGTTGCCAGTTGAAAACGCCGGGCCGGTTGGCATTGAATTTGGCAGTTAAAAAGGGAAAACTGATTCTTAAGAGGAAACTCTTCAAAGTTCTTGACAAACATTTTTCCTGCAAATCGAAAAGAATTTGAAGAGTATTGAACTTAAAATTTAAACCTATCTAAAAAGTTTTTAACTTTATTGGAAAGCGAGTACAACTTGGAATTGAATCGTCATCGATATCGTATTAGTGTTTCCAATCAATCACCATATATCCACCCTACAATTAAATGCAACTCTACAATTGATGACAGAATGAACATATGTAAATTGTTCCATGCCCGCTTTAAAATGTACACCGAAGTCAGTTAGTTGGCGACGCGATGCGATTTTTATATACATTATATACATATATAAATTCAAACACTAATCAAATCACTTTGCTATTGACACGTTAACATCCAGCGAGAGGAAAATGCAGCTTTAATTGGATCGATTTCGACTCCATGTGGGGAAAGCGAAATTAATGCATATGAATAATTTCATCTGGGCTTGGGGCAAAAATGGATTTTAAGCGAAAAAGCGAAAAATAGAACGAAGCACGCTTCCATTTTGGACGCATTTCGGATGAATCCCTATCCGACCCTCCGCTTTGGCCCCCACCAAAAACTGCTACTCGAGCAGGATGTTGGGGAGCACGATGCAGGGGTGCAGGAGGTGTCAGTGCTGCTTGTAAATGTCACAACAAAAGCTATTTATAAGTAAGCCGCGTCCCTGGCAGCGTAACACCACCACATACCCAGTTCAAGACCACACTGAAACCAAAAGGGAAATCTGAATCTCTGAAATCAGGAATATACATATGTATATGTACATATTAGTACATGCATACTCGTACATATATGCATATATGTACATAAGTAGTAAAGTTCAAGATCTTACTTAAAGTTTATGAAAAATATGAGATACAGTGTAATACGGGGTTTCCGATTGAGAGCCGCTCTCCATCAATAGTTATATTCATGGATAATGTAGTTAAAGGTATTTGAAACCTGATTTAATGACAAATACCTTACATTTAAGATGGTTGCAGTCTGAGCTTTTGAAAGTTTCCGTTCCAGCAATTGTTTTACGGAAATGAGTTTTAATGACAAAAAACCTATCGTGGCACTTATGACCCTTGCCTTTCGCACAGTGTAGCTGCGAGCAGTGCTTGGTCCGAGTGGTGCTTGGGTCAGGTGATGGAAGTGAAAAAGCCTAGCATTAAAAAGTAATAAACATAATTGTGAAATAATGCTGCCTGCCGCAGCTTAAGCTTCAACTTCGGCTCTGCTGCTTTTCTCTTCCTCTGCCTCTGGCTCTGGCTCTGGCTCTGCCTCTGCTTTTGCTTCTGTTTCTGCCCTGCTATGAAATGCAGTTTCCCTGAGCACAAAACAAGCACGAAGGTTAGAAGGGGGCGTGGCGTACTAAACTTTGACACGGGACACAGCTAAATTGTTTGGGCGACAGCTGGCGCACACAAAAGTCGAGTGCGCTGGGCCTTTAATTATTAAGGCAGCTCTTACACGAAACCAAAATTCCAAGCGATGCTTTTACTGTCGGTACATTTTTGGTGTTGTGTGAATCACACTGTTTGCATTGAGGTGAGTTTTGTAGTCACAGAACACGATAACACTTGGCTTTCGGCAACATCTGGCAATCATACGAAAACTTACCAAGAAATACATGAGATTGCTCCAATTTCACCAATAGAACCCATATTTTATTGATTTTGTTTCGTTTCGTTAAATCGATTCCATACAAGCTCCAAATATATACGCACGATTCTGTTGTTTTCAGCTTCAGTGATCTAGGAGAGGTGGTGGGTATGGGTGTAGGACGGGACAAGCACGTGCACGTGCACGTGCGAAAGCTGGCCGCAATGGCAAAACGTGAGAAGGACCAAACCAGCAGCAGAGGGGGCATGCAGTTGCAGCTGCAACGAGGCGCAGGGCAAACAAATAAAGTGAACAAGCCACTGCAGCATCCGCCCAAATGTCATCTCGGCCTAGCACTCCTCGTGAGCTTCATCCGCCTCCTTTACCACTTTGGCACAAAAGCGAAAAAACGCAGAGAAAAGTAGAAAAGCAGGAAAAGCGAAGGAGAAATAGTGAAAGGAAAAAGTTTACTGCAGTTTGGCGCTGACTCGCACGCGACCCATGCAAGTACGCCGTACGCCCATTTCCCCGAATCTCCGAGTCCTCGTATCCGGTTCTTTGCCCAAATGTGTGTGTGTGTGTGTGTGTGTGTGTGTGTGTGTGTTTATGATTGTGTTCGAGCCCCAACATCAGATCCAACCCCAACCGTTCCATGTTGCAGAGCTTTTAAAGCTTCATTCAAAAGTTTCCTGCATCGAACCAAACAACCAGAGCAACACACACACACACGCACATACTCGGTCCCCTGGGTGTGCCCCTTGACCCATTCATCACCCATCGCCATCACCAGCCTGAAACCCATTCCCATTCCCATCTGCTCGTACATCTCCATACCCAACCCCTTGTAGATCTACTGGTTGTCTGGCTCACTCATCGTGTGTTGTCCGTCCAGCTGTGTTTTTGGCCGACTGTCACTCTGTCAGTCTGGTTGCTCCTAGTCCTATGCATGTCCATGCCCATTCCCATGCCCTCGTCTGCTTTTCGACCAGTTCAAGTGTCCGACTGGCATTAGACTTACGTGTCCTTATACGGGTACATAGGGGTATACGAGGCCACTTGCTTACTTATGTACGGCTACATATGTATGTATACTTGCATAAATAATTCACAAAGTTTAAAGGTCTCGACTATTGGACTGAAAACCCATCGACTTGTGTTGGGACTTGGAACGGGGATTTATATTCCCTTTTCAATTCTTCGATAATAACCTTCTTTGAATTAAAATATTACAAACCCTTAAAGATACTATCTTTTTTATTTATCATAAATGCATTTATCATAAAATGTAAGTGTTGGGGACATCAAAAAACTTTAAAAGAAATGATTGATGAAATTTTATTTACACCTAGAAGATTGCAGTAAATTTTAGGTCCCTCAAGAGGGGATTAATATAGGTGTTTCGATTCCTTATATTCAAAGCCAAGTAATAATAAATTTAAATGGTACAAAAACCGAGGAAAATGCACCTGGCAATAAAATGATGACCAAAAGCCCAATGAAGTTCTTAGAGAGAAAAGATTCAAATTTGTGAACTGATTCAAAGGGTAACTACACAAAAGTAATTCATTCATTTAACCCAAGCAGAGGCGAAATCATTACTTTAGTCTGTCCATATGTCGCCTTAAGTTATAGAACCGCGAGTTGAGATGGAATAGAATACTAGTATGTTTAGCATCAAATCAAGCTTAAAACTGCGCAAAACACGTATTATCTGGCTGGCGGATCGGACGACTCACGTTGAACCCTGATGGCGCTGAACCGAAAGCCACTTAAATTGATAGTCACTGAACTGGGGGATCAGCCATCAGCCGGGGGCCAAACTAAAGCCGGATTAAAGTGGAGCACTGGCAAATCATTCACCGATCCCAAATTGAATAATCTCATCTACTATCACTAGGCACTCAATTTAATTCTATATTTATTCTATATAATTATATATACTTATGTATACCTATGTATGTGTATCCCATAGATGCTTTGGAGGAGGACTGTGTTGACTTTCAGGGCAATAAGGTCAACCACGGTATGCTGTACGTGCCCGGGCCCGGTGTGTGCAGCCTGTGCGTCTGCTATCACTCCGAACCACTCTGGTGCAAGGCCATCTACTGTGATCCGCCCTACGTAAATTCCCCCTATATCTGTGCCCCCTATACTCTCTGATCGTCTGTTCTGTTCTTTCTGTGTAGTTTTGCAAAAACTTTCGAGTTGGTGAACGTTGCTGTGAATTCGAGTGCCTTGATCCCCCCGGCGAGGATAAGCTGTATCAGGTGGATACCATAACCTTCATTTTATTACAAATTTGTTTTTTAACACTCGATCGATTTACAGGAGCGCATGCGGAAACGGGCTGAGATATTGGCTGGCAACAGCACCGCCACGAACGTGAGGCTGGCCCCGTTGGCCATGTCCTCTATAATGCTCGGATTCCTCGGCAACAGCTTGCTCAACTTATAACTTGAAGAAAAACAGCCAGCGGGCAGCAGCAGCAGATAGAGATTCTGAGTTTTAGATAAATCAATTTTTAAAAGAACTCCCAAGAATGAACTTGAAGTTCAGATTCCCTCATTTTCGTTGCTCCTAAAAAACCTCGTAGAGCTCTCAGACAACTTATTACAATGTAATAGACAAAACCAAACAAGTTATAGAGATAAACATACACATATACTATATACATATATATATATATATATTTATATATATGTATATAGGTGTATCCTTATAGATGCACAGAAGTGCCGTCGAGACGTAGGTTTTCAAATTATATCCCCCAGACTTATATAGGTACAATAATAATCATTTTCGGATGCACACCGAGAACCTAACCAAAACCCAACCCTCTTTCATCTCTCCTCGCCCAAAAGCAATTGCAGTGTGATCCAAATCGATAGGTAGAGGCCAGAGCAGAGCAGATTTCTAGCATATAACATAGACATTTACTTATTTACACATTGAAAGGAAGGAAGTAACACAAAGAAACCAGAACAAACTCATCAAGCGAACGAATAAGACAACCTCTAGCACGTAAGATCCGAATAGTAAGCGAATATATATACCGAGGGATATGGACATGGATATCTATCTATAGTACATATGTATATCGTAAGCATATTGTACATACACATGAGGATATAGCTCTGTGTATCGGAAACGTTGTTGATTAGTGTTTAGCCAACTAAATGGAAAAGGAATCATTGGAAGGGAAGAACCATTTGTTCTTTTTTTTATATCATATTGTACTCCTTACATACAGCCATACACATCCCCCCACCCCCCACTTTTGCGCTTAGAAAACGTATTTTTTTCATCTGGAAATTACAATACTTAGATGTAAAAGAGATTTAGTGGGTAATCCTAATATCTTATTGGAATTTGGTAATGGAATGTTGAAAGTCCACATCTCTAGATGATTTTTCCTACAAAAACTGTAGTTAATTACACATATCTTGGCAACATTTTTTCCAAATATATTAAACAAATCAAAGAGACACCAACCAACATCAACATGAAACACGTCAGAGTGAATGAATCATTATCTTGCATTGGTGCTAATTTTATCGTAGGCTAAAGACACATAGACATACAGACGAGACATAGACCGCAGCACATCACAGCACGTACGTCACACTCAATCACAAATTGAATCAAATTCTATATAAACTTATATCAATTAGCTAATAGGAAGGGAATTAATAGGTAGTAGTACGAATCCTTGCGTTGTTTATAAGTAAAATTGCCCAAGGTAAAGAGCTGTTGAGCGTCCAATAGTAAATCGATAAAAACTATGTATGTATGTATGTATCTATGTATATTTTGTGTTCTCCCATTAATTGGTTTTCTTATTGTTCTAATAAATCAAGTGCATAATCAGAGAAGGCAAAGCTTAATAGATAAGTACTATAGGGAGACAGACCCCCCCCCCCCCCCCCCCCCCCCCCCCCACCCCCCCTTTCAGATCGAATCCGTATCGAATAGATTTCGTTTCACTCAAACAAATTTGGGCTAAAGACTTTCCAAGCCCACACCGTCTCTTTCACTTATATATATATAGTGGCTATTCGTACACCTAGGTAATACTTTCTGTACACATAGCTTGTGTTTAAATTTTGAGATATAGCAGGACCAGCAAACAAAACCTTTAATCACCAGCAGAAAAATCTCGAATCGAAGCGGTAATCATAAAATATGTAACCTATTAAAAATCGGGGGAGATACTTACACGTATCTCGTATTATCAAAACCTTTCAGTTAGTGGAAGGCCTACCCGAACGGGATGTAATCGTAGAAGAGCAACAATGGGAAAAACATTAAGAGGAGTACGGCTGTGACATTTTGTTTGCTTCCAAATGCATAAACACAACTGTAAATAAAAATAAATATATGTACTTATGATCGTGAATGTATAGACGATATGTGAAGGTATGAAGGTATGATAAAACTACAGTGGAAATAGAAACGAAAATGGAAGAGAATAATTAACTAATCAACTTAATGTACAACTCAATAATGCCACAACATCTGACCAATTATGCAAGCGTATATGATATACTGATATATACACCACAACACATTTACATATATACATATAAAAAACTGATCCATACCAGATTTGTATATATATATATATATATATAAAATAACTATATATTTATCCGTAATTAAAATTTGTAATTTTTCTTAGAAAATACTTGAATTGATATATATATATATATAAAATAACTATATATATATATATATATATATATCAATTCAAGTATTTTCTAAGAAAAATTACAAATTTTAATTACGGATAAACCAGAATGAGAACAAGAACGAGAACGGAAAGGACAAGGCGAGCGAATATGAAAGGCGCTTAACAAATTTTAACATAGACTCCAATAAAAAAATGCAAATTGGCTTTAATTAACAATAAAACAATTAACAAACTAATAAATAACTAACGAATCACACCAATATCTAATGAGAATATCTAGATGACATACATATTTGATTACTATTATAATGTTTTTTTTTCACTTTACATAGCAGTGTGTTGTGAAACAACGGCAAGGAAGAAAGGAAGTCAGAAATCAGTTTAAGTCCATGCCATCCCAAGGAAATGTATTTTTTTTACAAATAAAGATAAATACAGGATAGCAGGATATACATTCAGATGTGATCTATTTGGTGCGAAAAGTTGTACCCCGCTAGTAATTGAGAAGTTCTGTCTGTTTTTCCCTCTGAATACCTAGATCTCTTCAAGTCGGAGAGTGAGAATTAAAGACTTTCTTTGGACGCCAGTATTTCAGAAATTTTCTTTTAGGATTAGATATCCAGCTCCTCGAGGCAAACGCCAGGGCTATTCATTATTATTCAGATATATTAATATAGAACAGGAAATACTTTCAATCTCGTAATCCTTACCAAGAAAAACCAAAAACCAAAATCGAATCGATAACAAAACAACTACCAAGCTTGAAAAAAAACTTTTAAAGTAATCTAAATCAAAGTTCTAACAGAAGATTATAAAGCAAAATCTTTAAAATAATAATAACAATCACCAAAAGATTATGGATAATTTAGCAGAGCAGGTGGAAAATCCAGAATCATGTATGCATACAAATATTCATAAATATTTCCAAAATACAAGAAAAATTTTAACAATAAACAAATATTTTCACAATAGCTTAAACAATCTTAGTGTTTTACTATTATTTGGATGTGGCCGGTGTTACGCTTGCCGTCTGGATTTACATAGGTAATATTGTTCGGCGACAAATGAATACAAGGTTTTATTCTATTGCAGGAAAATGTTGTATTTTTTATTCACTGTCTATCTTACGAGCGAATTAGAATGGTTGGGAAACTAAATGAAATGTTTAGGGGCTTGTGGCTTGAGGCTACTCCATCTCAATCTTGAGAACTGGTGCGATCATCATCGAGAATCATATTGAGAATTTCTGTAAAAATTAGACGTCTCAACCTATTGTACTACTTTTTCAAAGCAATTAGATAATCTTGGGAAATAAATTAAGTATTCTCATCAAATGTGTCTGCACAAAACTTCATCATACTAGCTACGAATTAATTTACATACATATGTACATAAATTCCAATAGGTTGACTTTACTTGATATTTTGTCTCAATGGAAAAAATTCAATCATTATAGATTTAACGCAAATACTAAAACATTTTAATCAAAACATGCGCTTTGAAAGTTTTTTACATTTAATGTAAACACTAAAATAATTCTACATTGAACACTTGAACAAAATGTTCAGTAAACGTATCCTACTATTGGTTCTTAGTCGATTGTCGCTAAAAGATCATTCGTCGGTTCTTCTCCTTGATCTAAATTGGTGCTTTTTGCTTTGTGTGCTAAGCTTCGAAAACATTTGACATTTTTTTTTTTTGATGCTGCTAAAATTTGCAATTTTCCTTCCTTCCATTCATCCTATATAGGTATTATCCTCTATCCATCATTGTACAGCCAATTGGCTTGGCTAAGTGCTATCAGCCATGATCCGGTTATCATAAATCGTAAAAATGGCGAATTGGCTGTCAAATCGCAAAAGAGCATCCTCCGCTTTTCGTAAATCGTAAGATTCTTAACTTTTACGAGCGATTACGATTTCAAAAATGAATTGCACATAGCACATATGTATGTATATACAAAATGATATGAACTGGAAAAAATAGAGTCATATTTCCTGATGTTTTAAGGTTATATTTATGTCGTATATATTTATTTTCGTATACGTATTGTCGGTACAGCAGTTGATGCAGCCGAAAATTTGAAATAAATTGGTTTAAATTGTAAAGAAAATGAATGAAGTCGCTACCCTTTAAGATCTACCGCCTAACATAGTTACATAAGAATTGTAAGTTCCCGTTGACATATTCATGTATATATGTATGTACTATCGATATCAATAGTTGGCATTACAGGTTACAGATCTCGCACAGTGGCACGTCAGCCGAAAAGAGGTGGTAAACACTAAAAAAATAGATATTTGTATATTTAAGGAAAATATAAAAAAACAAGAAGGACGGACAGACAGACAGACTGTATCGACTCGGCTATTGATACTGATCAACAATATACATATGTACATATATACTTTATGGGGTCGGAAACACTTCCTTCTGAGCGTTACACACATCCACTTTCCCCACAAATCGAATACACACCTATACTCATTTTTAGTATTGGGTATAAAAAGAACAGCGAAGAGGTTTGAATATCCTTCTCATGCTGCCTATGTTCCAAATAAGTGAACAGCTCTCCTTTTCGACTTGACTTACATTTGATGCAATACAAATGTTGGATGATCTCCTCCTTGTTTTGTTGATTAGCGTCTGTTGGTCTGTTGGTTGAACGTGGCTTGGATTGCGATGGTTTGCCTTCAACAGCCTTCAGCCTATGGCAACAGTTTTGACTAGTCCCGTCTATATAGTTCCCCAAGCGGCAATATGGTGAAAATACGTCCAGAGAAAAACAGCAGTTACTGTCGGCACCCGACCCTAATCTCATTTCTATCCATATTCAAAGAATGAACTCGTATCCCTAACCCAAACCCTGGCCGATCTGTTGTATCTGTGGGAAGCTGAATGTGGGTTTTTCTTGTCTTTTTGCTCTTTTTCCTCCTTTAAGATATCTCTACTTTTCACAGGCCCTTGCTAAGCGCTTTCCCCCACCTCCCTTCCAATAAAACTCGCACAGAACGCCAGACATATATTTGACACACTTTCCAGTGATATTTTATATTTTTTTTAGCAGATAGCAAAAAAAATTGTTTAGGAATTGTTGTAAAAAAAAAAGAATACTTACGCATTATAATAAATATATAAATATATAATATATTCATTCATTTGCGTGTGTACTGGAACCTTTGTTAAATTTTTTAAACACTAGTACTAAAAGCTGTACAGAAATTGGATGAGTTTTGAAGAGTGGAAATACTTATGCACCAAGCGAGTCAATTATTTGAAATTTAAGCATTTAAACATATTTAATGTCCAACTCAGTTTTGCAAAAAAGATGCCTTAATTGCTAGCTTAATTCTATGTTTAAATAGTTACATCCTATGCATATCCGCATGCAATTAATTTTAGTTCAGGTGATCGATCGCCTATGCTGTGTCGGTGTTGAATGATTAACAATTTTCAAATAAATAAACGTAAGTCTAGAAGTTTAATCTGCGGATAACTAACTATGTACTCTTGATATATAATAGTACGATTTGAAGTCAATATAGCCTAATATTTAGATCTCTGGAAATCTGTACAAATGATAAGAGACGTTGCTGTCCTGGTTCGAAGTCTATGCTCTATAATATACAGGGGTCGACAGCCCTGCAGAATTTTTTTGCTGATATTGGCGGAGGAAATTGTTGGACCGTGTGTTTGGCTGCTGCTCCACCTTCTCCTCCACTGCTACATCCACCGGTGATCGTATCGTATCCCAGTTCACTGTAACAAATCCCTCTAATGCCACGATCCGTACGTCAGCCGGAGATGGAGAAGCGAAAATGGTGGCGGGGATGTCGAGTAGGAGGGCATGGGAATCCCCTCGTCATCGGCATAGGCTGGAGCATCAGGCCGATGCTGATATTATTGAGCTCCTCCCGCTGCCGTCGCCTCCTTGACTTCGCCAGAGCCCGGCGCTGGCACCACCTCCTTCATGGACTCCACCTTGGCCACAATCTTGAGGGCGGGACCCAGCTTCATCCCCATGGCATTCACCAGGTGATTCTCCTTTAGCAGCAGCAGCGCCTGACCGTCGATCTCCTGCTGGACAAAGTCATCCACATAGTCTTGGCAGCCGGGCAGGTTCCGTATGAAGTCAGCGACCTCCTCCACGCTCCAGTTGCAAATGGGCGAACGCTCGCCTGCGGTCGAGGAGGATGTTGGTGTTGGTACAGGTGGCTGGGGCGCCACTGCTGCCGCAGGTGGGGTGGGAGCTGGAGACGGAGCCGCAGGTAGGGCCACAGGAGTGGGGACTGCGAGTGCGACTGCAACTAAGGGAGGAACTGGAACGGGGGTGGCTGCCATGACCGGCAGGACAGGAAGAGATACCAGTGGCACCTCCGTGGTGGTCGACATCGGAATCGGATCGGGCTGCAGCGCCTGCAAGGCGTCCGTCTGCATCTGCATCTTCTCCTCGGCCATAGCCTCGTCCAGTTTGTCCACCAGAGCCATGGCATCCACTCCCACAATTCCTCCCATTTCCATATCCATTCCCATTCCATTGTTCTCTCCCAGTCCGCCTCCAGCTGCAGCTGCAGCTCCAATGCCTGCAACGCAAGTCTTCGCCTGCCTAGCGCATCCTGGGGAGCAGAAGCGCTTCCGTTTGAGCTTCGCCTTGTGCTCCAGCTTGCCACACTGCTCGCAGGCCACCATGTCCGTGGGTAGACCCGCTGCATTAGCAGCTGCTGTTTGGGTTTTGGTTGTGGTTGGCGTTGCAGTGGCTATTCCGCACAGCTTCGCGTCCTCCTGCATGGCAGTCTTTTTCTCTGTGGGAAGAAGAGCAGAAAAGGGATTAGTATCAGAAACAAAGGAGGGAGGGAGGGAAGAGACTCACTTGGCGGCTCGTCGCTGGTGTCCTTGTCTGCGTAGCGCTGCCTCGTTACAGGAAAGGGCTCGTTGGCCTCTTGGATGATGAATCCGTCGATGACATGAGTGAGCACATTAGGCTTAATCATGGCTTTCGGCAGATCTTTCCCCGCCGCGTTGCTGTTCCCATTGCTGATGCTCGTTGTGGTTGTAGGTGTAGTCGTGCTGCTGCTGGTGCTCGTGGTGGTGGTAGTGGTCGCAGTGGTACTCGCTGCCCTGGCCAGGGTGGCTATCCCAATCCCGTTCCCTACTATCGTCGTTGTCGGCGTTGAAGGTGCGCTGGTGGTGCTGGTGGCTGTGCTCGCTCCGCCCTTGCCCTCATCCTTCCCACTGTGCGTGGGGGTGGAGGAGCTAGTGGTGCTGCAGCTACTCGTGGGCAGCACCACATTGCTCTGCCTTGTAGTGGGCGTGCTGATGGTGGGCCTCGTAGGCGTGGTGGGGGTCGTGCTGTTGCTGTGAGACGCCTCCGGGGCCTCTCCATTTACCCTCGAGTCACTGGTTGAGCTACTGGCCTCCGCGGAGGCACTGGCGCTTCCAACGGACCTGGGGGTGGTGTTGACGGAGGATGCGTGGTGATCCTGGCCACCGGCACTGTTGTTTAGAGGGGACCCAATGGGCACCAGGGTGGCGGAGGGGGTGGGCATCTTCAGCGTCGCCTCCTTGGTGGGTGTCGCCGGATGACTGGCTCCACTGGCAGCGCTGAACGCGACCAGTGTTGCAGGAGATGGTGTCACTGCACTGCTGGTGACAGGCCCAACCGTGGCGTTCATCATGGACGTCATAGCCATGATGGGGTTCGTGGCGGGTGAGGACGATGCAGCCGCCAGAGCGGGTGGTCCCTGCTGCTGCTGTTGCTGTGTGGCTACTGCAATGCTGGCGGAGATTAACTGATGTTGCTGCTGCTGCTGCTGCAGCTGGGCTTGGTGGAGGCTGGCTGACATTGTGCTGCTGGTGACCAGGGGACCCGTTGTGTGGTTTGTTATAGTCACCACGCTGCTGGTGGGCAGGGAGGAGCTGCTGCTGGTCGACTTGGCCGTCTGGAAGATAGCGCCGGAGGTGGAGGCGGAGAGAGCGGCCTGGAGGGCACTCGAGGTGGCTATTCCTGCGGGCGTCGTGGTCGAGGACACCGAGAAGGGGACGCTGCTCAGCTGCAATTGTCCTGGCTGCTGCTGCTGCTGCTGCTGCTGCTGCTGTTGCTGTTGCTGTGGCTGCTGCTGTTGACCCGCCCCAGCCGCCTGCTGTACCACAATTTGTTGGATTATGTTCTGCTGCTGCTCCCGCTGTTGTTGCTGCTGTTGCTGTTGCTGCTGGGCCTGTGCCTGTGCCTGAGCTTGAACCTGAGCTTGCACTTGGGCCTGCGCCTGCTGCTGGAGCTGCTGCTGCAGCAGTTGGTTGTGGAGCTGCTGCTGCTGCTGTTGGTGGGAGGTGATGAAGGTGTTTGGCGCCACCTGCAGTATCTGCTGCGCCAATGCCTGCTGCTGCTGCTGCTGTTGCTGAGCCTGAACCTGAGCTTGGGCCTGAGCCTGTGCCACCTGTTGCCGCTGATCCTGCTGCTGCTGTTGTTGTTGCTGCTGCTGGGCGACTTGTTGCTGTTGCTGCTGCTGTTGGGCTGCTGCCTGCTGTTGGATCTGGATGGCGGCTATCTGCTGTTGGAACATTTGCTGCTGTAGGAACTGCTGCTTGTGCATAAGCTGCAGCTGCTGTTGCTGTTGTTGCTGCTTGTCCACTCCGGCCGCTGTTGCTGCATGCAGGGTCTGACCATTTTGCAGGGTTATGGGCGTGCCCGTGCTCATGACGACCATCCTGAAAAGGCAAAAATAGCAAAGGGAATAATATGGTTGACTCTAAGGCCGACTGCGTCTATGTCACTCACTTATTTCCCGCTGTGGTGACCACCTGGTGGAGGTTCGCCTGCTGTTGGTGCTGCTGGTGCTGCTGCTGGATGGCAGCCATGTGTTGCCCCACTGACTTGCTCTGCACCGCACCAACCGCCACCACCTGCCCGTTCTCCGTCTTGAGGGCCGGCAACGCCGGACGGACAGGCTGCTGCTTGTTGCGCATCTTGGCCTTGAGCAGGTTCTGGTTTTGCGCCGTCTGCGTGGACACGGAGCTAGCCGGGCGCACCTGGGTTCCGTTGTGGGGCATAATCGGCGCTCCAGGCCGCTGAAGGGCCGTCAGCTGCTGCTGCTGCTGCTGCAATTGAGCTGTGGCTACCGCTAGCTGTTGCTGTTGTTGCTGCTGCTGCTGCGCCTGGCAATTGGCCGCCGCCTGCTGCTGCTGCTGTTGTTGTTGTTGCTGCTGCTGTTGCTGTTGCTGCTGTTGTTGTTGCTGCTGTTGTTGCTGCTGTTGTTGCTGCTGTTGCTGCTGTTGCTTGGTGGCCAGAGCTTCCAGTTGGGTGCGAGGCTTGGTCGGTGTCTGGGTTACATTGCACTGGATGATCTCTGTGGAAAGAGGAGGAAGAAGATCGGAATAAGCTCTGGATCACGGATAGCAGATTGCATTAGCGGATGCGGCCACTTACGGTTCTGCTGCGTCTGGAGTGTCTGCGTGGTTGGCTGCTGCTGGATAAACATGCCCTGAGTGCCGTCCGGCGGGCCCCGCAGTATAATGGAGTTCGAGCCGAAGGGCGGCAGGCTGTTCTGCCAGAACCAGGAACCCAGCATCTGCTGCCCCTGGCCCGCGCCAGTCCCGCCCAGCGGATTCAGCAGCTGCCCGCCCACGCCCACACCCACTCCTACGCCGGGCAATGTCGACTGCGAGACCTGGACACACTGTTGGGTGGTGGTCTGTTGTTGCTGTTGCTGCTGCGCCTGTGCCCCGCCAGCTCCTGCCGAGGCTGCCTGCACCGTGTTGGTGGTGGTCGTCACCTTCTGGACCACCTTCTGTGCCTGCATCTTGCCCTGGGCATCAGCTCCCACTCCCACACCCGCCTTGGCCATGGCCACCGCCTGCTGAGCCGCTGTCAGCTGCTGCTGCTGCTGAGCGTTGAGCTGTTGCTGTTGCTGCTGCTGCTGCTGCTGCTGCTGTTGCTGGGCGACCATCGACTGAAGAATGCTCTGCTGCTGCTGCGGCGAGTGGGAGATGACGTTGACGGGTGAGATGAGCAACGTCTGCGGGGACTGGCTGGAGGGGATGGCGTAGGTGCCCCCTGCGAACCCGCCCTGCCCCCCGATCATCTGCTTGGCGTTCTGTGTGGTAGTGGTGATCATCTGGGGGGTGTTACCCTGGAACGGCTTCCCGGCGGTGATCACTTGTATGGGCTGCTGGCCAATGCCCGCGGAGTGCAGCAGGTTGCCGGAGATCATCATTGGCGGGTAGATAAACCCCGTCGAAGGCTGCATCAGCTGCACCGTCCGACCCTGTGACCAGTCACCAGTCACTCCGCCGGAGGCTGCCGCCAGCTGCATCGGCGACATCGTACTAATGGCCGTCGAGTGCTGTTGCTGTCCCTGCTGGTTCGCCGGACTGGGTGCGCCTCCGCCCTGGCTCCCTGCCCCACCACCCGCAGAACCGTTTCCTCCGGCTGCATCGGCTGCCGCCGCCGTCAGCTGCTGGAGCTGTTGGAGCTGCAACTGGCTTGCCTGGCTGGCGTCCAGCAAACCCGTCGCATGCTTCAGTTCCGTGGTGGTGGTGCCCGCCGTGTGCGTGGGGAACTCCTGCTTCACCTGGATGGCATACGGATTGCTGGCGTAGAATTGCTGCAGCTGCTCCGGTGAGATCTGCAGGGGCACCGATGTGGCGGACGCCACCTGTTGGGCGGGGCTCTGTGACTTCTCCATGATATGGGTGCTGCCGCTGTGTCCCGCTGAGTGCTGTGGGGTGCTGTTAGGAGTGCGGGTCCGACGTGTAGTGTGGGGTGTCCCGGCTCCTCCTCCTTCTCCGTTTTCGTTTCCGTTTCCCTTCCTCTTTTTTGTGATTGGGGCTGTCTGCTGCTGCTGGGACAAGTCCTGGGAATCGTCAAAGCTGATGCCCGCCTTCTGGGCAAGAGTTTCCAGGCACTGAAGCGGTCGCTGGTTCTCCTTTGGGATCTGCGGCTTCTCGCTGATGTTCGATGTGTCCTTGAGGGGTAGCGTAGTGGCTCCTCTTGGCTGTGAGGAAGATGCTGATTGCGTGTCCGCTCTGAGGAAGGAAACGAGCACACAAAGTTAGTAAACAAAAAAAAATTAAAAACACATACACTCAGATAGACACAAACACACAGAGATACAGATACACACTTTGAACGGGTACGACGGCGCGGGGCATGCTTCATCTTGGGGTATAATCTCTTTTTTTCCCCCAAAAAAGCTCACAAAATACAATGTGAAATGCAAACAGGTTGGCAGCCCCAACAGCAGTGGTTGCAGAGAGAGCGGGAGAGCAGAAAACCGCAATGCACGCGGGGCGGCAGTGCGAATGAATGAAACGGAATGAAGTCAGTGCCAATTGTGTCAGACAAGGAGAGACTGACAAATGCATTTCAACGAAAACGAAAACAGAGCCAAAGCAAACCAAAGAATAAAAAAAAATGGTAAGACCAACGCAATTACGGAGATCATTCACACACACATATGCATATGTACACCGGTAGGGAAGGAGTTTCGTTTGATTAACCCTTGAACGACCATGGCTTGATGCCCGGTTGGGCTTCCAACTATTTTGACCTATTTAAATGCACTTTCCACCCACAGAAACACAATTGCAGTCATCCGATACCAGTGTGCGGCCACAAGAGGTCACTAGGCGGCACACATACGCACACACACACAACACCCCACCCAGAGGGATACCTTCTATTTATAGGTAGGAGTCGCCTGCATCTCGCTCTTATGAAAATTGGCAACATGCTGCACTTTTGCGCCAGGCAAACAGATTTAGAGGGATCGAGGCAAAGCGAGAAAGAGAGAGAAAGCATGTATCTAGGAGTGGGTGTAGAGTATTAAACAGAGAAAGATAGCCTGAAAGATAGAAAGAGATCTGGTATTGCAATTACATTCTACATTTCCGACCGGTAAACAGTCAAAAAAAATTTGGCAATGCAGCTGTGGCCTTCGAATAATTCAAAATCGAATCACTAAAATGATTCGGGATATGGATTTGGATTGCATTCAATGTTTGATTTGGAGGCGGGGTTCTCTGAATACAACCTTTCCCATTGCCAAAATGTTGACAGTTTCTGCTTCCGACCCCAGTTGCGGTGCTGGCTCCAACCCCCGATCCTAAGTCTGGCCAATTTTTTCGGAGAAAGAGATGTTCCCTTTCCACCACTATTTCCCCTCTAGTCGGGCGCATGAAAACAAAGAAACAAAAAAAAAAGAATAGCATAAGGGTTTGGGTTGAGGGTTGCCCTTGGCATTCGGGGTGGGTGGGTGTTTGCGGGCCTAGCAGGGTAGATTCTCTTTCCCAGGGTTGCTGCCGCTGTTGGAGATGGAGTCGAATCGAATCGCACGCGGAATCATCGGACTCGGGGGCGAGACGCTCTGCCAGACACAGCATCTTCAACGGCGGCAGACTGCGGCATGTGGCATGGGGCAAACGGCAAACTTCCAGCTCAAAGACTGGTTTTTGTTAGTCCATGTGAGTGTGTGAGTAGCGTTCTTGTGTAGATTTGTGTGTCTGCCACAGCTCTAACAACAATTCAGTTGCCAGTAGGGGAACTGCCAGTGACATTGGCAAGGGGAATAATAACAATGCGGGGGAAAAATAACAGAAACAGAGCATGCGCGTCAGAGAAGACTGCGTCGTCTCGTACACGATGCACTCTAAAGTGTTACTTCTGCTCCTTCTCACAGTTTTCCCCCTTTTTTTTGTCAAGTGTATTCAATATGTTAGGGGTCCAGTGGCAACGGGCCAGAGTTAGGGGCACCTGTGCACGCGATCTTACATAAAAAATATATCGGCGACAACCCTAGACGCCGCTCAGCATTAATGAGATTGTTGTTTTTATTCCACGGCTACACTCTCACAATACACTTTCCCGCTGTCTGTATACGTCGGCAGCGACGCGTCGCCTGCACACACATTTGTTTCGCGACATCATGGGTTTTCTTTTGTTTTGTCGCCTTAGCATTCACTTCTTCTTAGCCACACACTAGTTCTGCGTTGCATTATAAAAAATTTAAAAAAGTATCGTTATTATAAATGGAACGGCATACAGCAACAGCGTACTCGTATTCCCGTGATTGCGCGCGGAGTCGAGGCACAGACCGAATACCGAATACCGAACTCTGCCAAGTGGATTTTAGGACTGAGACGCGCGCAGACGATAGCGGGAACACACGGTAGCAGCAGCAGCAGCAGCGGCAGTGACAGCGGCAGCGCTGCGAAACAAAATGAAGTGCGCATGTGTTGGTGTTGGTGTGGTTGAATGCGGGGCCGGCGGCGCGACGCGGGCAGCTGGGGCATGCGAAACCAGTTTTCTCTCACACCCATGCAACACAGCGATAACTTTTCTCTATACTGAAAATCGCGGGTGCGAGTGGAATGGCAGTACAAGCAACGCAATCGAGCCCCAAGTGTGACTGCGATGGCCTGTGCTCGCTATCGCATGGTTTGGGGTTGGAAAGAAACAAACGACGAACGTCACCACACAGATACACACTGTCGCAGGAAAACGAGGCTACAGCTGGCGTACATGTGTGCTGGTTATATATGTGTGCGCGCTCTCAACCACCCCGACGAATTCTCATCATCTTCTACAACCGAATCCAGTTTTCTGTGTCTGTACACTCGAATGTCTACCCTGTCGACTGCCTCCGATTGTTGCTTGTTTGCTGGCTTGCCTGCTATACTTCATCTTCTTTTTTCATTTCGCATTTGTCACCACCACCACCACCATCGGGACTGTGGCCCAACGGCCTACCTGGCTTCCCCTGCTCTGCCGCGACCCTCCGCTTCACATTCCCATTCCACACCTTCGGTCGTTCCATTCGGCTTTAGCTTTATTTTATTATTAGCTCTGCTTGTCGATCACAGCCGGAGAGACGGGGCGAGGTAGCGTATGCGCAGCAAAGCCCAAAGTGAAATGTTTTTTTGCTTGCTCCCTCGAACGCACAGTGGCGTGCGTTCGACTATTATTGGATTGCATTTTTTTGTTCTGCTGTGAACATCACACGCCGCAGAGGCCGTCAACGTGTGCACGGTGAGGCAATTACAGAAAAAATCGGTCACCAAATAATCACCAAATATATGTCTAATAATCGTTAAGTATTTGGTATATCAAATAACATGTATGTAATTAATAATTATTATATGTACAACTAGGGGGCAAGATATCGGGACCCACCATGTATATATATTTTAATATTTTAAATCACCCGATCTGAATCTGAATACAGTCATCTGTTTTACTCCGTGCCAACAAGTCGTGTCCCACTGTGCCTGTCTCTGGCATTCCATTTTTCATTTTGTAACCTCTTTGTGTGCCATGTGCGTTTGTATGTGTGCTTTTCTGTGGGCTCTTGTCGTTCCCCCTCTGCCAACCAGCGCCGCATTGCTACACAGGCGTTCATCGTTTTCCGTCGATGATTGCCGATGTCGCTGTTTTTGCTTTTGCCTTTGTTGCTGTTCGGCCAGCGCTGCTAGTGACGCGTTTTCTGATGTTGATGAGACCCCTGCGCTTTTTCCGATTCTCAGCCGCCGCCATATTATTTTTACGCTTGCTAGGTTCTGCTGCCGTCCCCCCACTCACCCCAACCCTCCCCCACCCAACAACCGCACACACTCTGCTTGTATTTGCATTAATGCTCTCTCGCTCTCAGCATTGCTAAGAGACAATCGTGTGTGTGTTTGTGGATTTTTCCTTTTGGCTCCACTTGAAGTTTTTTTTGGTTTTTTCCTTTTTTTTTTATTTATTAGTCGTGTCTCTTCTTTGCTTATTCTTCTTTCACCCTGGAGTTTAACTGTATAAAAAGCAGACCCGGCCCGAGCATGCGCTCCAGGTCTCTTCCCATTCCTCTTATTTTCGCTTAAATTAATTGCCATACACTCGTTGGGACACAATTGTTGTTGGGTTTTGTTATTGGGGGGTCGGAAGTATGAGCGAGCGAGCGAACGATTGTGCGCTGCGTCTTAAACATGTGTGCGGTCATGGATATTTAAGTAAGTGTGTGTGCGTCCGCTCTTTGCATTTCGTAAAATGAAAAATTTATAATGAGCGTAAATTGCTTTGCGCGTGCTTTACTCACCCTTATACTTCCTTCTCGCTCTTACTCCCTGTCTTATAGCATTTCTGTCTATGTCCCAGTAATACGCGTGCCTGTCGTGTTCCTACACCATTTTCCAAATAAAAAACCTTCAAATGAGTGCATAAAAGTCCTGCAGTCGACGCCTGACTACGACGGCGACGGCGACTGTGGTGCAGTTCAGCAATTTTATAGCTCTGAGGCGTGGCCTGGCATTTACAATAGATCGGTGATCAGATCACCCCCAAGGACTGAATAACCTGAAGTTCTACGCCATCCAAAACAATTTTATATGCAACCATCCCACCCCCGTGTACAGCCCACATCCTAGCCACTCTCGATTGACCCTTCGTTCTCGCTTGTGTAGCACACATACAGGAAGTTCTTCAGTTGGCTCGCAGCGGTGGATGAAGGTGGCAATGGTCCAGTGCGCCGCTGTGGGCGGACTTGAGATCGGACATGCGGTAAAGGTGGAAAGCACTATACAACCATTTCCATAATCAATTAACAATGTACCGGCCTTGGCTACCGTTTGCTACACTCATTTCGAGTTTTTCTGATTTTTAACATTAGGATTTAGTAAGTAAAGGATTAAATTCAATTACTTCTCTCACAAAACCTTCAACGTATTACTCCAATTTATCTATGTATGTACATATGTGCATATATGCATACATATATTCGGAATCGAAGGTTACATACTACACATATGCAATTGAAGAAATCCAGGATGAATTAAGCCTTATACCATAGGTCGGCACTCATATATTTACCATATATTGCCAACCACTGTGCCGTGTACGTCAGCGTTAGCACCACAACACTTTCCTATGCACTGTGAATAGGACGCTGCCGACCTCTGTCATTGCACGGACTGTACCCAAGTGAAATGGGACTTGGACTGTACCCAAGTGAAATGGGACTTGGACTGGAGCTTGGAATCGCGAGAAGGGGGAGTTATTAAGAGCCTAGCCAAAAATTAACTGAAAAGGGGGCTGAACTCTGACACTTGTTGTTCCGGTAGACCCCTATGCACAGTACATATACCCTTTTTCCACCATTTTAGAGGCTGATAGGCCCACCAAACATT